TCAGTGATTAATATCAATATTGTCTGAAATAAGAACATGCTACATAAAATTAATCTTAATTACTGAAATTCTTTTCAACAATTACAGTTGTAAATAAGTCTTTTTAATACTGTTCCATATTTTTATATAATTATTTCCAAATATCAGACAATTTATATTAGTTAATCTGATCTCCAGATATTTACCTTAATTTTAAAGCTATGTTTTAGACTGTTTGATCTTGTATACTGATATTTTTAACCAACATATTTGCTTTTTAAGATCAACTAATGCACCAAAGGCCTTCAATTTCTTTATTAAGTGTTCAATCCCTTTCTGAGGATCTCATAAACTAAACTAAATCATCAGCAAAAGTTATGAATTTGTAAGCCTCTTTTAAATTTTCAATCTCATTATTTTCTCATCTTGATGTCTCTGTTCAGCACTTAAAGAACAAAAATAAAAAGTGACAAGGATAAAATATATTGTGTTGTTCCCTTCTGTATCTTACATGATTTAATTAAATTGCTATTACAATAATATTTTTCTAAGATTTAATCCCTGAAATACAATTCTCCCCAAAATCCATCCCTCCCTAAATTTTTAACGTAAATGATCAATTCAAATTACTGAAAGCTTTCTCAGCTTCTAGAACTCAGTGCCACTTGTTTCTCACTGTGTCGTTGTAGATACTCTACTATATCCAATACAATTCTGACATTATCTCTTAATAATCACATTGATCACCATGAATAAAGTCATGTAAAATCCTCTTTATCAGATAATGTCAATGTAAATATTTCATAGTCATTATTTAATCAATCCATAATTCTTAGTTGAAACTAAATCTCATCCTTCCTTTGCTAGTAAAGCACTATTAGCCCCTTTCCAAGATTTACAAAAGTGGTTAGAAAAGTATGTGAACTCTGTATCTTTAAAGGCACTGACAGTGGCATTCCCTCATCTCCCAAAGCTCTAAACCAGAACTGTCAAACTCCCGGCCCGTAGGTCAGATGAGTTACATGCTGGTCATGCCCACGCCTGATTTAGCAAAGGGGAAAAAAGTCCCAATATGTCACATGATGCCAACCATGACGGTGTGAGTTTGACACCTCCCACTCTAAACCCATTGGAGATCACTGGCTTGCAGTCTTCTCATGAGGAGTAATTGTCTGGAGCACTTGTGGGCAATCCCAAGTGGTCTCCTTGTCCAGAGAGGAATCACGAAGAGTCAGTTCACTCACTGTCTCTTCATTCTGTCATGGTCATTAGCTCCACCCTCAATCAAGCTGTCTTGCTTGCCATTTTTTCCCCAAGGAAAAGATGCTTCTTTAATCTCTGAGGGGAAGATCTTATTTTGATATAGAAGGCTATTACATTTCCAGGTCAATGCAATATATATGCATCTTCCTGTATTGACCCCAAAACTCAGTATAAAGCAATTACAGGTAATACTACTTCAAGTATTTCCAAATGATTTCCTCAAATTCTGACCTCTAAAAGGAAGTTCATATGTTATCTACCAGGTTACTGACCTTTCTTTAAATGAGCTGCAAACTTCAGCAATTTGGTTATCACTTTGAAACAAAGTGAACTGCTATTAACCCCAACTAAATATATTGACACATACCTATTTCTGGCAATAAATGGGCATTTCAAACTTTTAAAGACACAAATTCTCTATCTTGCTATACTTATTGGAATTAAAATTACTGCAGGGTGTTATTTTCTGAGTCTTTCCCCCCAAAAAAACATATTTTAAAGCACAAATTTGATCTTTAAGATAATAATTATCTTAATAAAGAGCATTATCAGAGAACAAATAGAAATAGCCTTGTCAGAAACTGAAAAATAGCCTTGTTCAATTTGTATCATATGAGGTAACTCTACTCAGCTTATTTGACTTAAAATAAATTAAAAATAAATATAAGATGCTAAAGCTCAGCTCATTTTGTTGTTGGGCTTTATTGGGGTGGGGGGAGTAACACTGAAAAGTTATCCTCCTTGAAGCCATTGTCAATTTTGCAAAACAGTACATAGCTATGCTTACTATCTTAACGGTAGTGAGTGATAATAATGCCATTATAAACTGAATGGTTTGAAAGGGCAGTATGGGGGCAGAGAGGTTAGACAGCTTGTAATAGGATGTCAGCCATTCCATGAATTATTCTGACCATAGCTCACTTGCTTCTGCCTGTTCTGAAACTGCCAACATAAACACAGCAAAAATTAAGGCCAGTCAATATTGCTTTCAACATCCACTTTTCTGAGCAATTAAAGAACATTTCATTATAAGTGCTAGATTGACAACAGACTCCACCTCCCCCCCTGCTCCCCACTCACCCATATTTTTACTAGTCATATTGATGTATTTTCTTTGCTTTCTTTTTCCTTGTTCATTTTATTGTCCTATTATTTTATCTTCACTTTGTTTAAACTTCCTTTTTGTTGTGGTTGTTGTAAACCAACTAAAATAGCCCCATGGCAAAGTAAGCAAATAAATTTAAGAATTATTATATTCCAAATAGTCACATATTCATTATATTTATTAATTTAAATTATATTGTTTATAGTGTTTCACTGTATTCATGTTTTAGATATTTGATTCGAGAGCAATTTGGTGCAGTGGTTAAAGGCACCAGGCTAGAAATAGGAAAACCTTGAGTTCTTGTCCTGCTTTAGGTACAAACCCAGCTGAGTGATCTTCAGTTAGTGACTAGCAAGAAGGCAAAAGTAAAACACTGTCAAAAACTTTGCCAAGAAAAATGCAGGGACCAGTCCACAGGAATCATCACTGACCTAAAGGCACAATGTGTGTATGCCTCTGTGTGTGATACGCACCTCAGAATCCTAAAGTGACCAAATTTATCATATAGGTAGTCCTCGAATTACGACCATAATTTATGTTGCTAAGTGAAAATTTGTTAAGTGAGTTTTCCTATCTTTCTTGCCACAGTTAAGTGAATCATTGCAATTAAGTTACTAATATGGTTGTTAAGTCATCCGGTTTCCCCACTGACCTTGCTTACCAGAAGGTCACAAAAGGGGATCAGGTGATCCCAGGACACTGCAACCATCATAAATATGAACCAGTTGCCAAACATCCAATTTTTGATCACCTGACCATGGTGTTGTCCCCAATTCGGGTCTGAGCCTGGTGCCAAGGCCAATAAAGGATGCCAGACATGAGGTGCAGGTTTTGATTGCTTTTTATTGGGGAACCCCAAGGAAAAGGGCTCCTGGCCAAAATGCCAAGAACCAAGAACAAAGGATTAAGTAAGCTTCATACATTTTCACTCAAGAAGAAGGCAGGACAAGGCGGGATAATAAGAAATATCATCTAATAAACATTTTAGTAATAATTCTACAATATGTTCTATTGGTCTTTAGCTATCCCTATTCCTAAGCCGTGGCTAATGAATGCCCAGGAGTTATCAAATACACATTTTATTTACTGCGGGCCATCTCCATTCCTAATTTTTAGCTGAGGTCTGCAAGTTGCCTAACTCTTTGCTACTTTTATCAGCTTTCTAACTACCCAGATTTATACCTGCATATTTCTTTCTTTGTTTTTGTCAGACAGAACCCACAATTACAGGCTTCCTGATTTACTTTCAAGTGTATGCCATGGACCTGGCTTTATTTTAGCAGACAGCTCATCAAGGGGGATGCTGCAATGGTTGTGTGAAAAATGGTCATAAGTCACTTTTTTCAGTGCTGTTGTAACTTTGAATGGTCACTAAATGAACTGTTGTAAGTCGAGGACTACCTGTACATTACTATTTTTTCTGACATTTTAAAATTCTTTTACATCCACATTATAAACCCAGTTTTGGAAAAAGTTGGCTGGAAAACTGTAACTCTTGCAAAGAAATAGCTATATGTGTAAGAGATATGCAGAAATAATCTCCCAATTACACCATTGCAACAAACTGATGCACCAATACATTTAACCTCGGGTGTAGGAAGTTAGCACCCACCCTTCTCCTAGAAAAATGAAATATCCTAGGAAATATTAAAAAGGCAGAATATTTCCCCTAAAAAGAGTAGAAATTTTCAGAAGCAGAAACTCACCTCAGAAGCAGAAGCTCACCCCACCCTTTGTTAATGGGTGGGCCATTAAGGCCTAGGCCAGAGTATTCTACATAACAAAGGCCTCTGCCCATCTCACCACCTGGCCTGGGAAGATTGCATCAGCCAACACTCAGGTGAAGCCATGTGGGTCTACCCAGGGGTCTCCAACCTTGGCAACCTGAAGATTGTGGACTTCAACTCCCAGAACTCCCAGAAAAGCAAAGCTGGCTGAGGAATTCTGGGAGTTGTTGTCCACAAGTCTCCAAGTTGCCAAGGTTGCAGACCCCTGGTCTAGACAAAGCCTAGTTAGCTAAGACTCCCCCTCGCGAGTCTGACAGCCAATGGGATACATTTTGTACACAGGAACAGGAAACACTAAGGTGGGGCCCAACAGAGGGTATATAACTAAGGGTCTCTCAGCATCTTGCCCCTTCTTTCTTCACCCAATCTGTCCACCATTAATCCATCTTTCCAAGCAGTCACCATGTTTCCGGTGTCTTTCTTCCCTACTTGGAATTGAACCCAGAAGGATATTTCTTCCAACACAAGTAAACTCAGTTTATTATAGCCCCCCCCATCCCCCAAGACATCCCTAGAGTCAGTCGCATGAAAGGCACGTGGCCGCCCAAACCGCGAGGAGGGAGCCCTGACGTCCCTTCGTAATCACGCGCTTTCTCCCTCGCCTCCTCAACCCCGCCTCTCCCGTTGCCTCAGCAACCGAGCCGTAAAGCCATGCCGTCTTCTGAACGGCCTTCTGCTGCGCTTCTCCGTTGCCACAACAACCACGTCGGCCCGTAAATGAGAACGGCCGTCAAACTAAGACCCTTCGGCTCTTAACAGTACGTCGGGAGTTTAGTAAGCCGGGTGGTTGGGTTCGACTTCTGCTGACGTCATAAGGGTTGCTTTGTTGTTTTTCTGGGCGGCCGCGCCGAATGGTTTAGCCCGCTTCCTTCCGCTGGGTTGCTTTCCGACTTCCCATTCGTCTCGAGCAGCCCTGGGATTGCGGAGGGGTCTCCTATCCACGCATTAAGTGAGGCCCAACCTGGGTAGTAGCTTCAGTGCTCGGCAAGGAATCGGCGAGAAGTTAACCTTCGGGCTAGGCTGCCCTTGTGGCAGCGTTTGCAAGGGGCACTAAGGCACGTTCTACTCCCAGAGCTCAGTTTCCCTCGTAGGTTCTACTTCCGAACTCAGAAAATGGGGCTTTGGTGATAAACCAGCATATAGTGTGAAGGCGGATCTGGCAGGCGGGCTCACTGAGTTGAGCAAGGGAGATGCCTGAGGAAACGGAGGGACCGAGCAGAAGAGCCCTCCGCTCGCGGGGCCTCCCCCCCCCCCCCCCCCAAAAAGGGAACTGCTCAGCAACCTTGACCAAACGAAGCGGAATCCCCTCGCCTCCATCCGGATTGGGAGTCGCCCGGCCCACGAATGCACCAGAGCTTGAAACCCGGAGGCTCTTTCGAGAAAAGCGCCGCTTTGCTATGTGGTCGGTGAACGAACGAGGAGCAGGGTCCTCTTCAAAAATTAAGAGTCAGGGGCAGGGAGTTGGGTTTCCTTGCTTGAGATATATCACTTTGAAAACCGATTTGGTAATAATCGTTTTCAGTAGTTGTGGGAACCCATAAGGCGCAAGCTGGGAGCGAAGGCTGCAGTCGAAGTCACCCAGTCGTATTCCGCGTTTAGTACGAAATCGTCCATGTGCGGAGCAGAGATTCTGATCTGATAGTAAATGCAATCCTCTTTAAAAAATGGTTACAGGAAATCTCTGATAAGGAGTCCCTCTTCTTCAAAAACATTCAATCCTATTTTAAAGTGAAGGGTATAGAGGCCAAATCAGGGAGACAGAACTCCTTGCACCAATTGAATTTCCACGCAGTAGACAGGTGTATTTTTTAAAATGCTCGTAGCAACCTAATTAGGGAATTAGGCATTCTTTTAGTTTTTGGCATTATTCGTAATGTGAGAATAATCGGGTATTTTGGGTTTCTAAACTTATTACATAGTAACAAGTTCATATACTGCATGCCTGCTTTTCTTTCTTAGAAGGCACATAAAAGTCTAAGTGTCAGACCTAGAAATAAACATTGGAGCTGCTGTTGTTTTCCTCAGGGAAACAAGCTCTTGTTACTTCCATTTTTGCAGAAAAAATATATATGGAGTTTCTTACTTCTAAGACTAGGATATACCTGCAGAAACACACTTATAATCACTCTTTGAAATAACCATAAAAGTTATTTCTTAACTGTTCTGAATAAGATGATGGACAAAAAATACATGTCTATGTGGGCGTGGATGTGTTACTACTTTCCCCTTAGTTGGCTTATGGCCTGTATAAAAGAAGAACTTGTGCAAGTGTCTTTTTTTTTCCCCTTTCCCATTTTGGTATTGAGTGAAAGGTTATAAAAAGTGCCAGAGTAAATGGCAGCATCTAGCGGACACTAGACATTCCCCATGAACCTCCAGAAATGCTAAGCATTATCCAGCCTGTTTAATAATTGGATAGGGGAGAAGAGAGCATTGCAAGTGGCTACACTGGAGACTAGAGGAGAAAGTTGGGATATATTATAAAAGAAAATAGTGGTCATGTTACTGCCAAAGGTTCCAGTATGGATCCAGTATGTGACATTCCCTGAAGCTATATTGATTCAAAATATTTTCTTTTGTGTTTGCAAAGACCCTATACCTCAGTAAAGAGTCATACTGTTATCATGCATAAAAGTCCATATTCAGATTCTGGTATTTCCACTATTTTAAGCCTTGGACCTATGCAACACTTTGCAAGCTGTTAAAAATACGGGTAATCTGTTTAACAACTGCAATTGGGACTGGTATCACCTTTGTTTAACAACTGCAATTGGGACAGGTATCACAAAGCAACATACTTATTTTGTGAATATCACATGACTATGATGGATGTATGACTTCAGGTCTATCAAGGTGGTTAAGCAACTTACCTGTAATCATTAAGCACATCACATGACTGCAGTTTGCAATTTTACTGACAGTTTCTCCATTCACTGCTTGTTGGAAGCAAATTGTGAAGCATAGAAATGGTGTCCACAGGATATGGCAATAGTCATCAACACCCAACTGGTTGTAAAATGCCTGGATCTCAATTATAATCGCAGGAACGCTACAACTGTTATAACTGCAAAAATTTGTCATAAAGTTATTTTTTCAGTGCTGCCCTGACTGTAAATGATCCTTAACAGGGGAGTTGCTAAGTGAGGACTATCTGTACATAGCTTTGGATAACATGAACAATTAATAATTTAGAATGTAACAAAATATATAAAATATTTCTTTATGCTCTTTTACCCTTAGGCACTTGAAAGAGAAAAATAATACCAAATGGCAGAAGCAGTTTTTCATCCTCCCAGAAGGAAAAGAAAAGTATATGAATCATATGATTCTCCATTCCCTCTTTCTCCTTCCGTAGAAGGCAGTCATGGAAGAGTTTATAAAATGTGCCAGGCTGAATTGATAAATAACAATGTAATTGTGAAGAATCCTGAAGATATAGAACAGCTATATAGCAAGGTATTTTGGGCTCATTTTATCTCTATAATCAATTAAATTAATCAGTCTTGGATACTGATCCTGCATTTCTGTTTCAACAAAGAATGTTCTCTTAAATGAGTGATACCATATTTTTGCTTGTTTTCTAGGGATTTTTTGGAAAAGGTATTCTTTCAAGAAGTCGACCAGAATATAGTATTTCAGATCCTATGTTGACTGCTAAATGGAAAGGTAAACTGAAGTATGCATGAATGTACATATATATGTATTATACTTATATAGCCTGATCTTGTATATCAGAATCCTGGACAGGACCATAAAACAGTGCCAACCTCCTGCCACCTCAAAAGTAACAAATACCTGGTACCGTAAAGGCAATACACCTTTACATAGCCACATTCAGCTGAATTGAGCTGTAGCCTCACCCTACTCTAATGCTTGCAGGAAGAGCCAATTGTTCAAAGCCTTTCAAAAGCTTAGGAGAGTGAAGGCCAGATCTCAGGAGAAAGGGTACTTCACAAAGCAGGGGCTGTGGAAAGAAGGCACACTTTTTTGCTCCCATGGGTTGCTAGCATTTAAAGAAAGGGATCTGGCATGTGCCCACCCTATCAGACCTAGTTGAAAAAGTAGATATTCTGGGAGAGACCATTGAACAAATAGCCTAGTGTTTCAGCCTCAAAAGAATCTTCCCTAAAAAGGGAAGGTTGGAGAATGGACATAAAAGGCATCTTGAGAAACAGGCATACTAATGCCTTCTTCAAGGGAGGTAGCCTTGCCCCATCCTCCAGTGAGTCACTAATCGCTGCTTGGATCCAACTGCGTGTCATCTCCTAGAGGACCTTAAGCAACCAAGAGGGGCACCAGTCCAGCACAAAAGTAGCAAAACTGGCCTCTCTGAGGACCTCTGTCCATTTCCTCAAGAGCAACCAGCTCAGAATCTTCCCAGATAAAAGGGCATGTGGTAGGCATTTGGTTACACAATATTGCAACAGTGCTGCTTTGCGTTCTCTGATTGTGCAGATTGGGACAATGCTATAGTTTTCAAATTTATTTCAAGATCAGCATATTTCCATATTTATTTATCCTATATATTTATATACTGTCCTGCTCCCAACATTGAATATAATTTTCATAATAAAGCATTTTGAATATTAAATGGTAAATATGAATATGAATGCCTTTCTGAAATTGTATGCAAACTATGTTATTCATGTTTTAATATTATGTATATAAAAATAGTAATTATACTTTTTATTGCAGATGCTAAATTAAATATGCCAATAATCTCATCAAAAAAGTAAGTTTTTCTTTTTGGTTGGCCTAGCCTAGAGTTTGAGCATACTTAATAACTATAAAAATAACAGTTTAATCAAGTGTTTTTCTCCTTGTTAAGATACTTTAAAGAGACAAAGTACTCTTTCTTTGATTCCTCAATTAAATCTTTGTACCATCGTTCCAATTATTAAGTGATTAAAGTGGAGAAAACTAAATATGGGCAGGTTTTCTGAACCAAGAATTATCAAGCAATGATTTAAGTCCTAATTTGATATGCCTTTTGAGTATTACCAATAGAAGAGAATATTTGTAGTTCAGCATTGAACTGTGGGATCTTGGTGCTCTCTCAGTTACTAAACTGGACAATATCATGAATATACTTTTGAGTATTAAATTAGAAGTCATCTGTTGCAATATACAATATATTGAATCTTGCTTCAGATGTAACAGGAAAGTATATCAAGTGTGGTCCCATTTTTCTTGCTCTCATATCAAAGAAAACAATTAAAAAATTTCTAGGTGAATTTTTTTTACAAGGGCTTAATATGGGGAACCTTGGCTTGTTTAAATTTTGGTTAGTGAAGAAATCAGTGATTATGGGTTGTTTTCAGCAAACCCTATCTTTCCAGAATGATCAGTGATCTTCCTTCTTGGAATTAATTAATTCTTCTGGGACAGTTAAGCTGGTTGCACATTTAAACTTGCCTTTTTGAATGGAGGACAGTTTCTGACAATTCTTGGTCAGCAGTGGAGTTTGGACTAGCTACAACTTTTCTGACTCAGATTTTATAATTTAGCAGAGAACATTCATCTGTACATTTTATTCTCAAAAAGGATGATTTTTTTTTAAATTGTCAATGCTTCATTCCTCATTGACTTTTAATATAGAGATAAAAACATTTTTCTGAGAACACGACATATATTCACATTCTTAAGCAATAATAAGTTCCCTCTTTATAAGAGCCTGAAATTTAGAGTAATCCTTCTTTGCTATATTTAGGGATACAGAAAAAAGCCTTGTTTGTGACAAAGAACAACGTATTTAAAACTGCTGTATCCTTTCAGTCTGACCTCTGCTAGCAAAACAAGTTGCTTACACAGAGATCCTCAGATAATTATAAAGGCATACAAAATATCTTATCTTCTTGAAATTACTGTATACTTTCTTATCCAAGTTTAAGAAGGGTTAAAAATATTGTGATGTCAAAGCAATCCAGAAAGCTAAAGGAGAACATTTTTTAGAATTATTAATCAGATCACAGTTTACTGTAGATCCTTAGGTGAGGAATACTGCTTCAAAAAAATTATTCCTTGGAATTTGCTTACCTGTTCGGAAATACGTTTATGTTCTGTAATGAAAGTCACATCTGTCATTGCTATTGTTTCTTAGTAATGTAAAAAATGTTCAAGAAATATGCTGAAAAATCATATATTTAAGCGTGTGTTAGCAGAATGTTAGAAATAGTAGACATGCTTTGGCTTGGATATGGCTTGGTTTATTCCATCTTTTTATTTTCAAAAGATGAATATATGCTTCAGAGCAATCTTGAATCCTAAAGGGCTGAGCAAACTCAAAGAAGCATTTAAAAATGGAAGTGTTGGAGTTTAGTCTGACTGCCATCATCAAACATTACTGGCATCAGTAATTCTTCTGAAGCATACTTCATATCCTAGTCAAGAAGAAGCTAGTATTATATACTTCAAAGTTTTTCTGATACTGTGAATCTAATGACATTTGGCATTCACCTATAGGAATGATCATGCACTGCCAGAACCTTGCTTTTGGTCTCATTTCCATTTTCTACTACAAGATGAGTGATAAGAAAAGAAACCACTGGCCTGTTTACAATTATATGAGTCTCTGGGTCCATCTCAGTTTCAATCCATAAGAAACTAGGATTGCGGCTGAATGTCTAAATTTACAGTGGAAATGATTGTGGAAGTTACAAACAAAATAAGCATAACTATAATTGTTTAATCACTATCCAAGTTACTAAAGGCATTTCAACCTCAAGGTGGCAAAACAGAATATTAGTTGCTAGAACTGAAAATAGTAAGGTTCAGTGTTAGCATGAACAACATTTCAGTATTTCAGTAAAAGCTTACTTGGGCAATAAAAGAAGTATACAATCAGTCAAACACAACCTTCTCTATGGGGAAAAATGCAGTATATAATCATTCTCTCTAAATAATACTACCAAATTTTGATTTCTCAAATAATGTAATAATTTTTAATTAAAGAGATTACCTTCTGAACAATTAATACAAATAACTGATAAAATTAAGTATTTCTTTTAGTCTATCATATTTTTAGAAGAAAGGAATTCTCAAATATTCCTAAAAAATATTTCCTAAATTTAATTAAGACTCCAGAACTCAAGCTGGAATTCAGATTCAGCTCTGCATTTCCAATCTGGCATTGTTGTATTTTTTTTTTAATTTTATCTACAAGTTGTTCTTCCTCTGGATACTCAAGTTGCAAGAGTAACTTGCAAATAAAATGATTAATACAATGCCACTTAATTCTATTGTCTTGATTGAAAGATAAAAACTTGAGCAGATAATAGTATATTCTTTATATGCACCATTGAGAATCTCGGCAGTTGTGAATTTCTCACATAGGGCAATCCTCACTAAATAACCCAGAAAGACAACCATACTTGTAGTCTTTGTACGTTGTGCAATAGAATAACCATAAAAATATTTATGAGTAGCCAGGGATATAGAGTATATGATTAAATAAACGATTTATTTATTTTTCATATTTCTATACCACCTCAATGAGGGACTCCTAATATACCTAGGGCTTCAGTAAAACTTGAGAAGTGATCATTTATTTTGTTGTGATACTTCTATATTGTTCATACATTTATTTATGAGCCCATACTTTCTGCTTTCTTCTATTCCAGATACCAGCATTGTGTTGAATGGGCTAAAAAACGTCTGTCTGAACAGGGAATGGGTGACTCCACAATTAACAACATCATGCAAAATTACACTAAACAAATTAATCTGAAAATAGAAACTGGGCAAAATAATGGATTTCAAGATGAAGGAACATTTAAAATGGAAAGTGATAAAGAAGAACCAAAGCTTCTAATGACATCATCTGAAATTAATGGGAATAACAAATCTTTCAAAGCTAATACGTGTTGTGATTCATTAGACAAACATGACTGTAGTGAATCAGATATTACAGACTCTAACATTTTAGCTAAAACTCCTTCACCACAACAATGTTCTCTCAATATGTATGATAGCTGCAGAGAAGACAATTATGTTGAACCAGAATCTCATTGTTTCAGTAATAATGAATATGAGCACGAGCTCGTATTAATAGAAGAAAAAGAATTGTGTATGGAAGAGGAAACAAGTGATGAATTTCATGTAAGTATAACTTGATTGTGAGTAATGGTAAGGTCAGTTTAAAAATTATTAAATCGGGTATTTTGCTTTATAGATGTCCTTTATTCCTTTTTATTAAGAGATTCTGAAACTAATCAGTTGATGGATATCAGCAAAGTGCACTTAAAGAAATTATTTGCCAATTTACTTGAAGAGTCCTGTTGCAATTCGTCTGCCCTATCCAAAGCATATTGCAATACAGATAAGACTGAATAAATAGGGCAGGGGTGTTAAACTCATGGCATCACGTTTTCGTCATGTGACATTGCGACTTTTTTCTCCCTTCGCTAAACTCGGGATGGGCATGACACATCCAGCCCGTGGGCCACAAGTTTGACACCCCTGGAATAGAAACATCTAGAAAGTCATGTCTTTTGTCTGCAGAACTGCTACAATGTTAGAGCAAAAGCTGGTGGATTTAGGAATGAAAGGCCAAAAAGATCAAGAGGATGTCTTATGCATAAAGAAAATATAATTCATTATGATGACTGAGCTTTAGCTGATGGTGTGTAAATTACAGAAATGTTTTGATTTCTTTATAACTTTTATTACTTTCTTGTAGTTAATTAAAAAAGCAAACTTAGTATGCCGAAGAAACCCTTTCAGGATTTTTGAATATCTGCAACTCAGTCTAGAAGAGGTAAGTTTTATGAACTCTCTTAGTCTGTATCTGGCATACATTAGGAAAAAGCCTTATAAGGAACTTCTAGGCAAACATATAAGATTGGGAAATTAAATGGATGCTTGCATAATTGGAACAGCAAAGTGACATTGTCTAGCAAACCCATTGTCAGAAGTTTGATTAAGCAGCAACTAGCTGGAGCATGATAGCAAAAATTGACTCACCAAGTCTTACCACCTCATACTTTTTTCACAGAATTGTTCCCTCAGATTTCCCTTGATTTCCTCCTTCAGCAATGGATTTCTGTTGCTTAGCACTAATGTACACAATGGAAGTTTATTCCTCTTTGGACTGCTTCCATTTTGTGGTAGTACATAAGTAAAGGGAAAAATACTATCCCCCCCTCCAGTTTAACTTGGAAAATGTCTCTGGTATTATAATTGTTGTATAGAAATACCTTTCTGCAATCCTATACTTGCTTATTCAGATGTAAATTAATCTTAGTTAGATTTTCTTATAAAGTTGTCAATATTGCACTATAATTTTGTATCCTTAAATATGATTTTTAACTATATAAGAAAGCTTTCCCAGTACTCTACTACTTTAAACATGCACAAACTAATTTTATTTGATGTCATTTTTAGGCTTTTTTCCTGGTCTATGCTCTCGGATGTTTGAATATTTATTACAATGAGGTAAGTTAATTGCAGTTGAGGTAACGTTGTCAGTAGTAATTCTTGAGTGAGAGATTTGTTGGAGTACTTATTAGCAAATAATAAAGCACTCTTTCTAAGGCACTTTATATCAACTTTAAAAAGGGTGCTACTTATTTGTTCATGTAAATATTTTAAATATTTAAATATTATTTAACTATTTATTAATGTATGTAAATAATTTTGGCTGCATTCCTGAAATAATATTTTTGTTTAAAACTGACTCTTCAACTTCAATACAAGTATGAGGCTATGATTTTTTTAAAAGAAAGTATGCAGGACATTTTTTCAGAAATTATTGTTGAACTTTTATTGTGAAATATTAATAACCTTACCAAGCTACTATTGTCTATTTTTTTAATAACAGACACTTGGCTTCTATTTTGTTATTTTTTTATAATTTTGCAAAGTACTATCTATGACATTTCTATAATATTAGAATATATTCATTCACAATAATCATCTGGTTGTGTTTTTAAGGCACCTTTATCTATCTTGAAGCTGTGGGAACTTTTTAGTAAAGCACAACCCAATTTTAAGGCTACATACATGGCTTATCATTACTTCCGTAGTAAAGGATGGGTCCCTAAAGTTGGCCTGAAATATGGAACTGATTTGTGTAAGTAGTATCCTTTCATTATTAGCACCGAATGAAGTAACTGAACAAGAGTGGATCCATTCACTTTCTCTGTTACGTGAACATTCCTCTTTCTTTACATTCAGTCATTCTTTAGTGAGGTTGATGTTCTGCTGCTTGGCATATTATCTTGTATAGTTACGTGTCTGCTTTTCATATTCTTGGAATATATTATGTGAAGGCAGCTTACTCTTCCCTATAAGAGTGTTTAGACTGAACATCCCATTTTAGGGATTTGTGCTGTTTGGAGAAAAAAATGGCAAAGAATAATGCTGGGCTTTATTGTTCTATGATATAAGTAGTCCTCAACTTACAAGAGTTTATTTAGTGACAGTTCAAAGTTACAACAGCACTGAAAAAAGGGACTTATGACCATTTTTCAGAGTTACGACCTTTGCAACATTCCCATGATCATGGGATCAAAATTCAGATGCTTGGCAATGGGTTCATACTTAAGACCATTGCTGTGTCCCAAGGTCATGGGTTCAAGCAAAGTCAATGGGAAGCCAGATTCACTTTACAACTGTGTTACTAGCTTAACTTCAATGATTCACTTAACCACTGTGGCAAGATAAGTCATGAAATGGGGCAAAACTCACAAATGCCTCATTTAACAACAACAACGTCATTTGGGCTCAGTTATTGAGGACTACCTGTATATAATTGTATTTATGTATTATGTGGCCAGTTCAGTTGATGTATAATTTTTTTTCTATACATCAGTAAAACTCTACTAAACAGCCTGTGATCCCTTGGCTCATTGTTTCCTTATAAGGTTCCCGTTTCCTCAACGCCTTCAACAATGGCAGGGCTTTTAATTTATTTGAAAAGTTCTTAAAAATTCAGGGGATATTCAGAATGCATTTGCCTTGAACAAAGCCCATTTGAACTGTACAGCACATTAAGAACTGATCACAGGAAATGTTTTGTGACATTCTCTATTATGTCATAAAATGCTTTGTGAAAATTGACATAATTTTTTAAACAAAATTTGTCAAATTTCAATTCCATGGGAGTCATGGGATCCAGTTTTTGGATGCATTCTGTAAGTTAGTCTATTTGAGATATCTTGGCTCAAAAGGTTTTGCCCTTTGATGCACCATTTTGCCCAGTTAAAGGTTACAGACATGAGAGTTTTAGTAGATAGAAGTAAAAAAAAAGTTTACTTTCAACAAATACGTGGTATCATTTCTACTTTAGTACATTCATGTTATAGAATACAAGCTCATCTTACTATAAAGTGGTTTAGATTCTGAAAGTTTTATAATGGGTTACCACAATCTTACCTTGTTATAGCTGAAAAAAAAATATGGCTTTTGTAGTAAATGAATGTTCAAAAACAACAAATAAAACCATCTTTCAATTGTACGGTGTCGGTTGGGTACATATATTGTGTGCATATAATAATAATATTGGCATACATTTCTTATTGAATTTACATTCATATTATAGTCAGTATTATATATCCTCTTATTATTACATTGTCATTAAGTTTTTATTTCAATTTCAAACTATCCTTAAAGGCAAATCCCAAATCTTACTAAATTATATTTATATTAAAGCTTATTCAAAAATAATCAATTTTAGTATATCATTATTAATACAATATCCTTTAATTTCTTACTCTATTTTCTAGCCATCCATAGAATAACTCCCAAATCTTATAGTACTCTTTTTCTTCTTGTTCCCTAATTGCTAATGTTAATCTACTTATTTCTGCACATTCCATTATTTTCTTAATCACCTCCTCCTCCATTGGAATTTCTCATTTTTCCAATTTTGGGCAAATACAATTCTAGTTTGTATGGTTGGAAAAAATGATAAAACAACACATAGACTTAAAACCTGAGATATTTTTTTAATGGGGATTTTGCCTGAAAGTTATAGTAAAGAAATAACATACTTGATTATTAATGTTCATTTTATTCCTGTTGTAGTGCTATATCGAAAAGGCCCTCCTTTTTACCATGCCAGGTATAGCATTAAGGTTTGGATATAGTTTTCATTTTTACTATATACTATGCTTAATTTTTGTGCTACTTGAAAGTATGATTATATATTTGTTTCTAAATTATATAACATAATTCAGAATATTGTTTTTCCAAAGCTGAAACTAAGAGTAATCTCAAATTAGGAGAGTCCATGGCCGGCCATCTTCAGTAAGAACATTCAGATAACCAATCCTATTCTGGAATGTTCTATTACCCACAGAATAGCCCTGGAGATGTCCTGAGATTCAAATAAGGGTCTCAAAAACTTGAATAATTGGAATTTCAAACATAAAGAAAAAATATGTTGATTTTGGCATACTTTCATATATTGCGTTATCAGTATGCATTTTATTAAAAGCTGCCCTAGTGGTCTTTAAATGCTGCTTTGATAGAGGCAAACCAGTGTTGCTCCTTCTACTAATTAAAGTGATTAAAACATTATGGTGATGAGTACCTGGTGCTGAGTACCTCTCCTCACAAATATTTGTTCTGGGGGACTCTCAATGCTGTCCAGAAGTGATTTGGAAAGGGGGGAAATGACTCTGGTGACAGAGAGAGGGGATGAATTTTCATGCCTTTGATAGAATCAGTTTCATCATAATATTACATTGGGTTTTACCTTCCCTTTAACCTACATAGTCTACTTGTCTATTTGAATGAATACTGTGGGAAACTATCTCTAATTTACTAACCCCAGAAAAGAGACTTAAAAGAATGTGAAAAGAGATCTAATCTAAATATCCTGTTGTTTGCTGAATTGATTCTTTCACTTACGCTAAAGGAGCCCATCAATATTTTAAGTTATTTTGGTTGTGATTTTTGAATATATGTTTTAACTTTTCATCCTAAAAAAAGATATTGGGGGTTATTTTCCAGCTATTCTGTGATTGCTGAATTAATTAATGATGATTTTGATGGACCACTGCACAGACCATTCAGTTGGAAATCTTTGTCTGGATTGAACAGAACTACAGCAAATGTTTCCAAGGTAGCCAATAAGAAGCATCATTTTAAAATAAACCAAAAATGCTATGGAGGAAAATGGATGAATAACTTTAAGCGCAGTAGGTAGAATTATATAAAGCGTGTAGTAAAATAATTTTGCAATAAATGAGAGTAAGCGTATGTGTGTCTGTATATATGTTTCTGGTTAACAGTGGAAAATCATATTTCATACAAATGTTGCAGTGTGTGAATTGTAAAGCAATCACAAATGTGGTCTGGTTGACTGAAGCTGCTATTATGGAGAAAAGATTCTCCTCTTTTCCATGTTTAATATTCCATCACAGATACGAAGCAGAGTTTAGATTCCATTTTTTCAAAAAATTGCTTTAAATCTAAACTTCCATAATATTGGTCTGCTGCTATACAGTATTTCAGCTTACTAGTTTCTAGGGGGCTTGAGTTGTTCAGATTGTATTTCTCTAATAATTGAGGCTTGCTTGAATACTTAGCTACCCAGTGCTTTTACAGATCACTTTTCAAATATATTTTTATTTTTATTTAGTTTGTCCTAATACACTATTTAGGTTAAATGTTGATAATCCCCACTGAACATTTTAGAAAGAGTAAATGGATGGAAAGAAGAAACAATTATAGTAACTAGAGATGAAAGTTACCTCTGAAGGCCAAGAAACCTAATGTTGAGGGCTCTGCAGCACTTCAGATTCAAAGCCAAATGGTGCTTCGGAAGATCCAGGAGCACAATAGAGTATATGCCCAAAACTCCTTACACCAAATGCATATTTTCTTGGGACTGGGCTGCAAGAGGCATCTGCATAATCCTAGGAAAAGTCACAACTGCCTTCAGGAGTTGCAGGCAGGTCTACATTTCCTTGCACACTCGAAATTATATTTTGCCTTTGAATCTAAAGTGCTATGCATCCCTCTAGTTTTTACATATGCATTTTTCCCACTTCAGTTTTCTCTGAAAATTGGCTCTAGAAAATCACCAAAATGGTTTGGAGCTGCCCTGGGTGCAATAAAATGATCAAAACACTCTTACAAAAGGGCTCTTTTACCCTTGTTTTTAATTAGACTAGTAGATGCTGTCTGTCTCATTATTGCTATAAAGAGTGCATGAACCTTAATTTGAAGTTTTCAGGAGAAACATCGCGTTTACATTTACTTGACATTTTGGTAACATGATTTATTTGTCACCAGGAACTCATGTTCTGCTATTTAATTAAGCCATCTGATATGAATGAAAAAGAAATGCTTTCACCTGAATGTCTCAAAAGAATGAAAGTCCAGGTATGTATGTCCCAATTTAATATTTTGTCAGAAATGAACATTGAATTGTTTATTTACTGCTATAGTAAATAAGTATACTGGGTCATTTATTCATTGTCAGTTTTCTAAAACCGTGTGTGTGTGTCTGTGTCTGTGTGTGTCTGTGTGTGTATTAGAAGAGATTGAAATACACCATTTCTCCCTAAAAAATAGGAATGATGCATGATCTAGGTATATTGAACTAATTCATCCAAGAATACAAGTAGTCCTCATTTAGTTGCTTTGTTTAGCAACCATTTGCAGTTATGATGCTGATGAAAAAGTAATTTTGCAGCTTTACATTTACAATCTTCCCAGGTCTATAAAGCAAAGGAAAGCTTAAGATAAGCCCACAGTTTCACTTAGCGACTAACTCGCTTTACAGTCAAGTTGCCAGTCTCATTTTTTAATCATGAATAAGGATTACCTGTAATTGTGTTTGAAAGAGCAATGCTAAAAAATGCTTTGATATAATAAAATAAACTATGGAAAATAATGGTTTGAATGCAAAATACTCTGTTCTTTAATTTTAAAGGGATTTGAACGTATCTTGAAATGAAGCAGCCTCATCAAATCACAATAAGTCTATGAAGCATTCACAATACTGGAATAATATGTTCAAAGAGAAAAAGCTTTTTAAAAAATCTCATAATATGCGTAATGCTAAAAATCAGCTATATAAAAACATTCATCAAATAGTAGGTTGATCTTTAAAAAAATCTAAAGGTCAGCCAAATGATATTGGAAGTGCTATTGCAACTAGTACAGGAAATTATTAGTGGTAGTTACTTTCTACGAAAATGCTATAAATACCGAATTAGCAAATGCCAAAACCTCAATTGGGAATGTGCATATTGGGCAATTCTAATGATTTGACACTCCGTCTATCTGCTAATAAGTGTGATAATTTATGCAGGTACTGATTTCAGGATGACAAAGATATTTTCATAATCAAATTCACAAATATACTTCCTCCCCAAATAACAAGGATTGTCTGTATTTTTATTTATCAACTGTCGCTTTATTTAGAGATGAAGCAGCCATTATATATTGATTAGAGCGGAGCAATATTTAGGAAAGAATCATTCTTCCATTTTCACTAACAGTCTCAGTGCTATTCGTAGTTGTGCCAATGATCATGTCTCTGGCTTGCTATAGCTTGGTGTGAACCAAATACTAACAATAGTATATTAACAATACCCAAATGCAGTATTTCTCCTTAAGCTATCTCTTCAGTAGAAAAATATGCATTAGCTAACAATATCATTCAGCAACCATATTTATGTATTTTACTTATTTTATAACCAGTGTCTTTCTTTTTAAAGGAATTGATCCTAAATCGCTGGGTTTCATCCTGTGAACGTAGTGAACAAGAAGAGGTGTGAAATTGGAATCCGAAAGTTGAGCAATATTAATAAAACTGTAGCAAACTAAATAAATTTTAACTATTCCTTTTAGCATGTGTATATTAAGTGTATATAATACAGAGCACTGTGATTTTTTTTAATAAAAGCTCAAATGGATAGTGACAATTGAGCATGTTTTACGACTTAGCTTAATACTTCTAGAGTTAATTAACCTCTACTATAGTCTTGGCTCAAAATGTTCTAGTTATACCATGTATGTTGGAGATGGCTTAAATTGATTAAACAAAAAAATAGATTTTTTATTTTTATCAACCAAATTTTTCTGCTACATTATGCCAAATAAAAGTCCATTTTATTGATGTGGTTGATAGTTATATGTCCCTTCCCACCCTATGATTCTATGAATGCTGAATTTAATTTTGTTGGTTGGTAGGAATTTCCCTTAACTTCTATTCATGAATACACCCGCAGAAAGAAAAGTCATTGTCTTTGCTCTAGTGCCATCTGGAGTAGAGAAAGAATTATTAAAAATTGTCTTTGACTTCCAACAAAAAGGAAGAGTTTCTTATTTCTTGATCACAGCCTTGGATATTTTTTTCTATTCGTAGACTCTTAGACTTCATATCAATGTCTTTAAATTAAAATAATGCTAAATATAATTAGACAGGTAGAAAAGATGTTTATTAGAAAGATTACATTATGATTCAGTTTCTGCAGTTTTATGGATAATAGGAAATAGTTCTGATTTTTCTTGGATTTCTGTCCAATTAAGTATGATGATAATGTTTTCCAGTGTCCTTACAACAAGATAAGAACAACACCTTATGTCTTAACTCAAATATTTTAATTTTACTTACAGTAAGTGTTTCGGCCTAAAGTCAAATGGCATTGGTAGAAGTACTGCCTTTTTGAGCAGGATGGTCAACAACAACATAAAAACCGTTCTTGCATATTTCCTTGTAGATGGTGATATATTTGGAAGCTTTTCTTGTTTGTGGAATTACAAATTTCTCTGTAAATTCATTTTTATTCATTTGCTGCTGCTTTTGGGCACCCAGCACACAATTAATAAATGTTAGTGCATACGTATAACAATTATGGAAACATTCTTCATACCTGTTAAATAGATAAAGAGAAATGAGTCTCAAAGCAACAATAACAAAGCTTCGGCAATAACTACTGTATATTTTATTAACTTCTGGTATTTTTATAACACATTGTCTCAATGGGAATCTTAACTTATTTAACATAATTTTCCTGCTCTTTAGCCAAAACACTATTAGTCAGTCTAAATAAGGGAGAAGAAAAGAGCAAGCCAGGCACTGGTTTTTAGTTGCGAATTTGTATCATGCTCAGCTGGAATAAAAATAAACAGTGGCAGACTTATAAATAGAATAGATTTACAAATAAGAACAGGTATGGCAAAGAATATTGCCATATAAGGATATTGCAGTAAATTATTAATCCAGTGTATTCTTTGAGCATTATTGGAAAATGCGAGTTCAGTAGCTTCTTGTATGGAAGGCTGACAAAATTTAGATTGCTTAGCTGATTTTAGGAAGGCCCTGCACTTATCATGAAAACTCAATGCCCCTATTGTGATAAAAAAGCAAATCTGTTTATAATTTTCTGCAGATCAAAAAATATTTTTCAACACACATGGTAGCCACCTAAGTTATTCTCATGAGGAGGTCATATAGTTCCTCTCCTTCAGATAGCAAGATATTCAATTTATTTTTCACACAGGCTACTTTTATGGAGTGAAAATTAACACAAAATTCTGCAATTGACAAGAGAGCTCAAAATTATTGATTCCAATAAATTAAATTTATTGAGATCTGAATAACTTTGAGCTCGCCAGCTGCAGAATTTTGTATAAAAGTTTCATTCCATAAAAGTAGCTTGTGTGGAAAAATTAATTGAATATCTTGCTATCATCTGAAGGAGAGGAATGATCTTTGCGATGATCTTTACCACCTTTCTTGTCACATTTGCACTGCAGTTGCTAAGTTAGTAACATGGTTGAATCTGGCTTCCTCATTGACTTTGCTTGTCAGAAGGTTGTAAAAAATGATCACGTGAGCCAGGGACACTACAGCCATCATCAATACATGTTGGTTGCCAAGCGCCCAAATTTTGATCATGTGACCATGGGGATGCTGCAACAGTTGTAAGTGTGAAAAACAGTCATAAATTGCTTTTTTCAGTGGCTTTATAACTTTAAATGGTCACAAAACAAATGGTTGTAGGTCGAGTACTATCTGTATCCCAATGTTTCAAAAATGTATTTTGAAAAGATCTTCCCAGTTTGCGTCTGAAACTAATTTTCTTTTCCCATCCCAATCCTTTCTTCTGGAAGAATGAAGAAATCTCAGAAAACAAACATCTAGCACTTATGATACCACCTGAGGTGGTTACCGTATTTGACCTAATGATAATTGAAGCCTGTTCATCTAACATATAGAAATATTATGGAACACTGGAACTGCTTTCTGTTGTAGAATCAATAGTTCTTCCAAACTTTATCACAGCTGGTTCAATTGCAATCTATTCATTTAGAACTCTTGTTAAGTAAATTACAGAGATAGTCCTTACTTAACAACTGCAATAGGGACTGGGAACTCCATCACTAAATGATGCAGTCATTGAGTGAATGATCACGTGATCCTTCCTGGCGTACAGGGTGAGTTCTGCTGCAGTCATTAAGTGAACTGCTCACATCATTAAGCACAATGTCAATGTAAGTTGCAACTTACTATTTACTGCTGGCTTCCCCGCTGACTTTGCTTGTCAGAAGCCAGCTGAGAAAATTGCAAATGGCAGCCACATGACCATGGGATACCGCCACCATATAAATTAGCACTTTTTTCAGTGCTATCATAAGTTCAAACAGTTGCCAAACAATGCAGTCATTAACCCAGGACTACCTCTATTTCTTAGAACAGGCTAATGAAGACAAAGGTTCTGGAGAGTTTTATTGTCTCCAAATGACTGCATGAGACTCATCTGTAACTCAGTCTAAGCAAAGTGCAAAAATTTAGCATGCTAGTTTTGGAGGGAGTCCCCAATACCATTTTGAATTCTGTACCTGTGTGGAAGCCAAATATCTGTTGCTGAAAATTGTTCTAGATAGGTATCCCATTGGTTAAGGAGGCCATACATATCAGGCTTCACTAGTGGAATGCTGACACATTGTTCCCAGCCATATTCAGCAATGGTAATACCAGTTTCATTGTAATTATACACCAAACCTACAAATACAATAATAGATGCAATCAGAAGGGCAAAACTGCTATGTATACTATGGTAATATGGAAAGACTGATTACCATATATTAGTAACTATCTCTTGTGATATTTTCATTTCCCTTACAGACATGTACAGAAGCTATTTGAAAATCCTGATTATAAGAATAATGTGGAATTGTGAAACAAAGAATATTTACCAAATGTGGTTTTCTGACCATCCAATTGTCTAGGGTCCTAGGCATTTACTGTCTAAGCTTTTGGTGTCTCAAAAACATTAAAATGTATCATTTTGAACAATAGAATGATTGTTCTAATAGAAATAGAATATTTGAATAGTAAATTTACTTTGTAAACAAAACATAACCTTTCAGAGTTTGCCATCTTTTATCCATCTTCCCATTTTGAATGATATAATTAAATCTTTTAGGCTTGTCCTGCAAGACTGTCCTTCTACAAGCTGCACCCTTACGTGTACAACATTCACTCTTATTCCATATGTTGATGCCAAATATGCAAGACAACTGTGAAATATTTAGTCATACTATTCAACATAAATCCCAGCAAATGAAAGGAGGGGTGAAATTTTGGTGGGTAGGCAAAGTCTATTATTTGTACAGAAGCCCTATGGCCAGTGAGAAACTTTAATTGGAACTGTTTGATTTAGATTTGAGGTAAAGAAAAAAGATGAGAGAAGGGAAGCAAAATAGTTTGAAAAGTGAGAAACAGAAGAACCCACGAATATTTGCTAGAGAAGATGCTGATGATTTGAATAAAGAGTGAGAGAAAAAAAGCTGAAATAGTAGGATTAACACTCCAAGAAGCAGCCAATGGTTCTGCATCCTATGTATAGAAAGAAACCAGTGGCTTGAAGAATGGGGGGGAGGGGGCAGAGAGCCACCTTAATTCACATGTCAGTACAAGTGTGCAAGCATCCAACTGTTCCTTGACCAAAAGCATCCTAGCCCTCACATGCACTCCAAACTGAACTACTGCACAAATGTGAGAGTTAGCAAATATTTGAAATTAATAATTTCAAAAATATAGTGCTTCCAAAATGATCTCAGTCTTTGTCTTTCCCAAAGGCTCATTAATTTACTGAGTACAAGGCACAAAGGGTGATCCTATTAAGTGCTTCCTAGTTCTCTCTAAGTATATATCCAGCCCCAAGATATGTTGCCTCTCCACGTTTTTCTCAGCGCAGTAGATTACTGGACACTTTGAAAAGAGGGCTGGGCAATTATTCTCATCACTACTGACAGTCCAGTTTGCATATCTACGACCAATGTCATTCCTAGAATCAAACTGCTTTTTTAAAAAAAACTTATTAAATTACTTGCTGATAAGCAGCAAGCTACACGGGCTCTTCTAACTGGAAATGGTTTGAGGGATAAATCAGCAAAACTACTTGCACGGAGATATCTTGGCCAACAGACTTGTGTTTGAACTAAAGGGAAGGCATTTTGAGTTGTAAAGCTGCTTCCAATGGAACAGAATGAAATAGTAGAAGCTACATGCAATTTGGACTGAGCACACTTTGAATGGTGTGGGAGTGTGAACGGATTTCCAGAAAAATTGCAGACTACAGGAACCATTAGCACTACTCAGGTGACCCTGAGGATCCAGATAAACCTCCAAGTGCATAAATCTCCAAGTTTACGACCCTCTAAAAGGATGTAAATGACCAGCTTTTTGCAAAGAATATAAATCCTTCCATTCAGAGCTGAAGAAAATTCCGTGGTGCAGTGGTTAGAGTGCTGTACTGCAAGCTACTCTGCTGACAGCCAGCTATCTGCAATTTGGCAGATCGAATCTCACCAGGCTCAAGGTGGACTCAGCCTTCCATCCTTCCGAGGTGGGTAAAATGAGGACCCAAATTGTTGGGGGGGATATGCTGACTCTGTAAACCGTTTAGAAAGGGCTGTAAAGCCCTATGAAGCAGTATATAAGTCCAAATGCTATTGCTATTCTTGGATGACAAGTGAAACATCTTCAAAAGAAGAAACAAGAAAGTCCAGTTGCCCCCTGAAAAAGAAACTTTGGGATGTATGTATCATGAAGTTGGTGGCAATTCAGGAACCACCTAGATTTTCTCCACAGTACAGAATCATAAACTATTACATGTACTTCCATAAGAAACAGATATATGCTGAACTTCACTAGACATCCTGGTTACAGTGCCTGTAACAGAGAGGGGGGATCCAGGTCTTTATGGCTTTCTAGAAGGCCAGCAGGGTTGGAGCCCTCAAATCTCTGGGTGTTCCAAAAGGCAGGAGCTATGACAGAAAAGGCACCTTTTCTAGGCCCCACTCTAGGTGACACTGCTTCATTTCATATTGCTATCAGCACTGCATGTAACCAAACTACTTTGCAGGATAAAAAACACAAAATGTCTGTCCTGTACAGCAGTGGCCCCCAACCTTTTTTGTGCCGCGGCCCGGTACCGGCATCACAAAATTATCCGCGGCCCGGTACCGGCATCAGTACGCATGGCAAGGCGAGCCGAGCGACCGGCCAGCCAGCCGTCCCCCGCTTCTCCCCGCCACCTTCAACTCCTCCTTTGTACCTGTGTCGATGGGCTTCGCGACGGCTTCGGGACGGTCACTCGGCTCGCCTTGCCATGCGTGCTGAAAGAATCCTCGCGCCTTAATTTTGTTCGAAGCCACCACCCCCCTCGATGAAACTAAGGCGCGAGGATTTTTTCAGCACCCAAACGCCGCTTTCTACCCGGAAAAGCTCACCGGAAGCACTTTTTCATCAAAACAAGATGGTGGCGCCCAGCAAACCGGCGGCCTGGTAGAAATTGTTCCACGGACCGGTACCGGTCCGGGGACCGGTGGTTGGGGACCCCTGCTGTACAGTATATACTGACAATGCATGAAGACTTCATATTAGAAGGTTAATTATATGTTTTCTTACCATTGGTATTAGTTATTCCAACATGAAGGTCAGAATCTCCATCATAATCTCTGAAAAGACATGTAAGGTTTCACTTTGGAAAAATATATTAGAGATTTTTTTCACTTATTTGAAGAATTTTTTGAAAAATAGGCTGGACATAATATAATACCACTCAAATACAATTAGCGATACAAAAGTTATTTGCTTGGCAAGAGTAATTACGTCTAAAAACCTCTGAGTAAAATGCTCTCTAGTAATCAGATGTGTAGAAATCCTTTTCTAAATTGGTGCTTGCCTTATACTCCGGTAATGATAGAAGGCAGCTTCTATGTGCCTTGTTTCTAACCATAGAATAACAAGGAAGACCCATACCTTAGAAATGTTCCTATAGTAGGCTTCAGTAAAAAAGAACATCTTTCTCGGTGTCCATTAACAAATGGGCTTGGAATACTAACAGGTGCTTCTTCCAGACTTCCGTAAATCAATCTTTGCCCACACAATGGACAGTTCTTGGGAACTAAGCAGCCAAAAATGTCTTTGTCACAGTGGGTGATTTTAATTAAGGCTCTCTCCGAGTCCACAGGTTGCATGATCAGTCCTTCCTTAGGTAAATGAACCTGCTTTCCAACTTGTATTTAATAAACAGAAGCCAGTAGAATTGGACATTGAAAGAAGGAAGAGATTAGTTGAGAATGACAGGTCTCAGTACCAATTCTTCCTCTACTGTGAACTGGATTAGCAAATGAGATACAAGATATGGGAGGGACAGCTTTTCCTGGACATTCTTTTAAAGAGATAGTGTTCCCTTTTTGTATTAATTGTATCTGGTACTTGTGTGCTGACTTAATTTTTGATAAATAGAAACCATCACATTTGTCTGTTATTGTCTGTTAATTAATGGTAAACAGATACATCTTTGTAGATCTCTCTCCCTTGATTAAAATGAGGAATAAACAAATTTAGAATTACCATCATCTCTTCCTGACAAAGATCTTCTGACTTTTGCACTACAGGCAAAAGTGTTTAAACTTTTTTTCTAGTTTTCTAGTTTATTTGGTCATAAAGCAAAACTTTTCAAATACAACCCTACTATTCTTGTTAGCTGTATTGTCTGAGATTTTCAGGAACTGCAGTACCAAATTATCAGGAAAACATCAGATTGGGAAAGATTAATTTGTCCTTGGCAGGAAAAAAATCAGCAGCCTAAATTTAATGTGGGCTTATCATGCAGTTATAGGGAACACTATCTCTTTTTAGTAATATTCTATTACTTTGAATAATACAAATTTATTCTGACTAATAAATGAAGTATTGCAAACAACTCACAATGTTGTCCAATAAAAACATAGACATGAAAGACCCAAATAAAAAATAAGCTTTCCAAAACTGAGACAGCTGCATACTTCTCATAAGCTGCCATATATCAGAGTACAAGGACCCAATACCACAAAGTTTCCAAAAAAGTTGTGTCCTTGGTTCTAGTTAGCTAGTACTGTTAATAATAATAAACTACTACCTGCATACTGCACAGGTTATATAATGTCTCCACAAAATAATGCACAAATTATTATAAATGCTTACAAATGACATAAGATGGAGAATATTTGCATCCAATTTGGAAGAAATGCTGATTTTTCCAATTATTGCTTGATATAACTAGTTGCTATTCTTACAAGATCAGGTTTATTTAACTGCTAATCTGCTTTACATTATACTGTATTGTGCAATATAAACTATTGCCTGTCCTTACCTTTACAGTCATGAGACTGCTGTAACACTTTCCTGATCTCTATGCTCTGCCTTTTAACCTATACATTTTACAAGGTAACTTCAAAAAGAGAATCCAGCATGAAGAGTTTGGGTTATATAGACTGTAAATTGATTTAAAATGTGGTAATTATTTTATCAGCGCCAGAATAATTCTGTTATTCCACATACACTGAAGTTTTAAGATACTCATGTTTTCTCTGTGTGCCTGTGTGTATACCTACAGGTACCAAGTTGGACTTATTCATTTAAAATGCATTTTATAAGTTGAGTTCTGATACATCTATATAGCTCGACCCTTCAAGGTATGTCAAGATGAATCCTTTAATGCCCCAGTGTCACACCATCTTTTTTTTTTTTTGCTGCAACTTAAAACATTTTATTGCAATAAATCCAAATTGGCGCAGCAGGCTGCATATCTATTTCGCGCTTCAAAAACGAGAGGACCCTCTCCTGTTGCTTGTTGGGAATTTCCCCCCATTCCCTACCAGATAGGAAACAGGAACCATACAGATATCTCAAAAGTAGCGGGTCCCGAAACCCTATCACTTTAAACTGGGGAAGGAGCACTCTGGCCGGTAATCTCGCTTCCCCCAGGCAGCCGCGGTCCCGCTTTCCGGATCTCTATGCCCTGCTCTTGAATATAGTGTATACCCGGGGAGTCGCGTTAGTCTACGGTAGCCAAAAAGCAGGAGGCTGGCCGTCCTTTTTCCCGACTGACAGTTTTTTTTTTAATTAAAAGGCGGTTTTCCAATAATTTGTCAGTTTGGAAAAGGGCGGCAGATTGCCTTTATCATAAGCGGCCCTCCTGCCTCCCCTCTCCGGTGTGAAGGAAAGCCGGTTTGCCCCCCCCTTCTCTCCTACTCTATGGTAGAGCGTTTCATTCATAATTTCCGGCCGGAAACCAGTTCCTGTAGCAAAGGCCCGGCTCTCTTTGTTGGGCTCCCCAAACAGCTTTCCCTTCCTCTCCACCACCCCCACCCTCCCCGGCGCTACAGCGGAACCAAAATGCGAGGAGCCGCGCAGGGAGGAGACACCGAAGCAGGAGCGGTGCCAAAGGAGACATGAGCAGCACGAAGGACGTAACCTGCAGGTCTGACGGAGCGGTTACCGCTTGGGATAAGCGCTCTCTGCTTTGCTCCCCACCCCAAAAAACGGACGGGCGCTTGAAGACGCTCCACCCACGGGGAAGGGGGGGTGGCAGAGGAGGAGGAGGACGGGACCGAGATGCTTCCCGGGCTCCTTTCTCGCTCTCTTCGTCGGTCTCCATCTCCGACGAAGCCGCGAGAGGAAAAGGGAAAAGCCGGAGAGCCGATGGTTCCCTGTCCTTGTTTCGCTAACTTGCTGTCCCAGCCCTAGTGGCCGCCTTTCACTTCCCTCCAGTTTTGTGTGCGTGTGTGTTGTAGCCCTTGAAAATGCGCATTACACAGAGTTTTTCCCGCTAACTCGCCATCCCGTCCTTTTCACGTGGTCTCCAATGGCCCTCTTTCACTTCTCCCAGTTTGTGTGTGTTGTATCCCTTGAAAATGCGCATTACACATAGGGGAGCTTTTTGCAGAACAGGGAGGCTTACCGAGACTTACTGATTCCCCCTTAAAAGATCTAAACCCGATTTTCCCTAAAAGATTCCTAAGGGTATCTCCTAGTATTTCTTAGGACCAAGGCCTTTGTGCCCAGAAAACACCTAAACCTTTCTACCAGTCAATATCAGGCGGCTCTCTTAATTCCCTATCATGAAAGATTGAAGTTTCACACAGGATGGAAATATAACATTAAACCTGTGGATTGCTGATTTGCCCCAAAGTCTCTCCTTATTGATAATCATGGGAATCTTTTTAGGATATATAAAGTACATGCATTCAGAATCTTAAAATATATTCTGTAAGTTCTTTTAAAAGTGCCAATAAAACAATATTCCTAAAGAAATCAGTGTAAACTTATTTGAGCCATGAGTTTAGAATCTACTTATTTTAGGATATTTGGATATTTCAACATACAGATGTTTCGCATTCTGCTTTTATGAACTTTCTGGAGAAAATCTTGGCAGATTTATTCATGGACTTGACAAATATTGAAAGAACAATTGTGTATTTTGACATCAGTTGCTGTATAACTTTACATTATATTATTGCAGGTATTTTGTACAAGGAGTATGTCGTGAAGGAAATAGGTGTCTGTTTTCCCATGACTTGGCTACGAGCAAACGATCTACTATCTGCAAATTCTATCAAAAAGGACAGTGTGCCTATGGAACTCGCTGCAAGTATGTGTTATTCGTTTCCAAGAGAAAACTTGCAGTTATTTTATTATGCTAAAGACATTTAAGAAGCTGCTTATTGTTTGTGTACTTCTTGTACTTCATGCCAGTGCACTTCTCATAATTTCTTACTAGCACTGTTTGCTGTGAAATGATTGGAACTGAAGAAATCTGGGAAAACTTATTTTAAAAGAAGAGCTTTCGAATTTTGATAAATGTTTTAAAAGAAACTGCAGAGATATGGTCCATAAATAGGTTTCATTTTTACCGAGATAGCTTTTTACAAGTTTGCAAGTTTAGCATCCCAATCATATGCATATCTACTCCAAAACAAGTGAAATTCAGCAGGTCTTACTCCCAAATAGGTGACAAATTTGGCAATCTCAAAGTACACTGATAATGCAGTGTTCAGAGCCCAACTGTTAAAAGGAGGAAAGACTCTTGACTTTGTAGTTTAATTCTTTTTTTTTCTTTTTTTCTTGAACTCCAAAAGCCAGTTCAGATATAAATTATATGTTAAACTACTGAGAAGTCAGAAATCCTGATCTATTGTAAAATACCCACAGATCCATCAATAGATTCTGATTTACTTTCTATATATATATATATATCCACATCTTAAAGTTATAATACTGCACATGCTATATTTATTTCATCAAATTCAGCAGATTTAATTAAGATTGTTAAACTAGAATATATGACAATAATCCATATTGAATTTAATGAGTGGCTATATCCGACTACTAAACATTACCATGAATGGTTTTACTTAATCATTTGGAATTCTACTATATATCATTATATTGCTTTACAGTTAAGTTACATTGAACTTTAAATTTCACAGGGTAAGGTTTTACATTTTATATATAGTTTTAGTTATATTATAAACGTAATCACTCAGGCACTTAAATAACTAAAATCCTGTTAATTCTTACTTCTTTTATCTTCGGCATCCTTCTTCTAGGATTAGAATAATTTAGGTTCCTGCATTGAGATAAATAGTTCTGTGAAACAAATCCATAGTGCAAATATTGCTATCTTTCAAACCATTAGAAAGATAATTAGAAACCATTATCTTTCAAACCAACTTCACAATATCTTAACTTCACAATATTCTTATCTTTGTGTTCAGCGGGCTTTCTGAAATAAATGCATTTGTACATTATTGTTGTTTCTCATTTGTTAAGATATGATCACGTTAAACCTCTGGGGTCCTCTGCATCCGGGGGCCCAGTGGGTTCTAGACCACTTTACATTGCTGCACCACCATTCCAAAGATTTAACTCTCCATCAGAGCAAACCCCAACTGTTACCAAAAGTAAAGTACACGAATCTGGAAAACGTGAAAAGAAAACCTTAGTGCTCAGGGACAGAGGTGAGTAAGAGTGGGTCATTTTTTTTAATGGAATTTCTTTTTTGTACTGGTCCTTTAAAATGTAAAATCTTTCAGTCAGGTTTTATTCCTGGTTGCATTACAGATATACCCATATAGTTTTGTTGGTAGCAATAGAGAAGTTGTTTGTTTTTGGCTTCTGAGTTTTCTTTTAAGTCTAATCTGCAACCCTGGTATGGTATGCAACCCTCTCATCAAAGTATTAACCAAACTTAATCCTGCTTAGCTTTTTGAAGTCAGCCATGGTCATCTGTCTGGACTTAACTAGTTCTTCATGTCCTATCTTTTCAGTTGTTTTAAAGCAAATAGACCTATTTTTTCTTAAAAACAACAACCTATTGTACTATGAAAATTAACGAGTTGCATATGATGATTGATAATTTCCTCTGTCATTACCATTATATCCATTCCCCTTATATTTCATTTGCTAATAATGGCAAGTATGTTATACAAAGTGCAGTTGTTCAAGCAAGTATAGATACATCCAAAGTATTTGCTTCACCAGACATCTGAAAATATACTTGTATTTTCAATATTTGATCACCATTTGCCAACTCTCTGTAGAACCAGGTCTTTGGACATTTATGGCAGTTCTCAGCATTCCGTCCATTGGAGCCATAGTTCATCATATTGGTTAAGAAACCTTTATGTAAGAAAGCTTCATGTCTCATACCATTCATACCTACCTACATCTTGAGGCAAATATATATTTTTATTATTATTTCTAGCAAATGACAAGGAAGAGCTTTTTGGTGCTGGCATCACAGATATAGAATGGCCTTGTCTTAGAACAGGGGTTTCAAACTCAAGGCTCACCGGTCAGATTTGGCCCACTGGGTGCTTAAATCTGGCCCACAAGGCCGGCCTGGAAATATCAAAGGACCGGCCCGCAATGTCTCTGCCGGCCAAAAATGGGCATGCAGGGACCTCACGGGGCCCATTTTTGGCTGTCAGGGTGCCGCAGAAGGCCATGGAGGCAAAAAATGAGGTATGAGGGAGCTTTGCATGGCATCTGCATGGCCCATTTTTGACCAGCAGAGTGCCACAGAGGCCGAAAACAAGGCACAGGGCGCCGGCACGCCTCCCCACTCCCCACTTTGGCTGGCAGGCTGCTGCAGGAGGTGTCCTGTCTCTCCCCCTGCCTCCCTGCCAGCCCATGGAGAAGAATTACAATACTGATCCGGCCCTCAAAAGAAATCCAGTTTCACACCCCTGTCTTAAGAAGCTTGCCTGGGGTCAATTGAATTTTTTTTAATAACCTGCTAGGGTTTTATAGATCCTGACTTTTGTTTTTAAATATTTTAAGACTTGCTTTTTGTGGTTTGTATTGCAATCATTTTTTAAAATTTATGTATAATATTCAGAGGATCTTATGGGATAAATATAAAGAAAATCATCAGGTCCACTGTTCTCTCACTTGCTAGACTGACCAGGAAATAGATCCTACATTAAACTGTAGTTATAAGGGCAGACCTGATTCGTGATGGGTGAAGTCAGAAAGTAACTTTAGCCCCAATTCCCATCCCCGTAGTGATATTGAATTGCATTTCTCAATGTTCTTTTCCCCTGATTGGATAGCTGCTACTTAGGGAGGGAGAATAGTACGTGCTGTGTTTGAAGACTCACGTTGTGGCCAAAATATGCTCAAGCCTCACCTCTAAAGTCCTTGAAACAAGTTCTTTTATGTGAACTCCTCTGGTTGTCACTGGTATTTTGTTAATTTGCAATGATTTTCATGTACTGTTGTAAACTAAGAGATTATGTTGTTGCTGCATGGTTTTGTAGACAACTGATAGCCATAACTTTGTGGTTTTATAGTATGTCGCTGAAGATTATTATAATTACTATGCTTTGAAATTGAAAGCAGATTTTCCATGTTTGATGGAAGCGCATCAACTGCTATTAAAACTTAAGCTTAGAAATGCTTGCTAATTCCCCCTGCTTTAGAATAGGGATTTCATGAGAATTGTGGCCTGTTTTGAATGCAATCAAATATTTTCTTCTTCTTCTTCTTCTTCCAAGACTTGTGTGGAACCAATGAAGAAAGGACAAGGCCTGGGGCAGTAAGTGACTTGGCATGTTGCAGTATTCCAGCTGACATACCAGAAGCAAAGCCCCATTCGTATTTAGATGCTATCCGCAGCGGGCTTGAAGATGATGCTGAACCTGGGAGCTCATACGCATACGATGAACAGTTATGCCCCTACGCAGCAGCCGGCATGTGCCAGTTTGGGGATCGGTGCCTCTACCTCCATGGGCAAGTGTGTGAAATCTGTGGAATGCAAGTGCTCCATCCCTTTGATCCAGAACAGAGGAAGGCACATGAAAAGGTAAACATGACCAGAAATAAAACTAACTTGGCTCTGTTATTTTCAAATCAAATAATTATTTAACTGACAAAAATAATCAGGCCAACTAATAATATAGGATGTAAAATGTAAAAAAGACAAAGATTGAACAATTATATGGGCATGTAAAAATGTGGAACTGGTCCTCATCTGATTTACTAGCTCTTGCTATGCTAGTGGCCAATTCCTGATGGATGTTATGTACTCTTGCACAAAACATGATAACTGTGTATGTTATTTGGGATTGTATTAGCACAGGTCATACTGTAGGCTTGGTCTGAAATCAGTATTGGGAAACGAGCAGTTAAAATGTATTTTAAAAATGATCCCTGAAGAAAAGCATACTTAGGAAACTCAATTTGCCCACAAGGGCATAATTATTCCTTGTGTAGGATCTTCTATATCTTCCCCGCACAAACAGCTGAACAGACAACATACCAAAATATAAACGAACTTTTTTACTTAAATTTCAAAGGCTTACTGCAAACCTAATGGAATGCTTTTATTATTTTCCATTATAGGAAATCACTGTATAAACCTTGGGTTTGCATAGTTTTTCTCTCCTCTTTCATACCTGCAAGAAAGAAATTGCAGTACCCCATAACATCTGAATATGGGGAATAGTAGTTTTGTGAAAAAAAGATTATGATCTGTCTACCTAATCACATAGTGAAAAAGCTATTTAAGTCTTTGATTAAAAAATGTCAGAAAGAGATATGGGACCAATCATATTAGTTCGAACTTCATTTATATTTAAGAAGAATGAATTTGTTGTTAATTGTGTATTATATAAAATTCTTTGGATTATTGGAAGAATCTACCTAGCCTTGTTTAGATCATTTAATATTCTGTATTAACATGCAGATTCTGTAATCCAAGGGAATGTGGTTAATAGAATCAAACAAAGATGACCCTCATTTATTTGAGCTCTATTTTATTTTAGCTTAACAAGTGCAGAAACAAACCTACAGATAAGATTTGGTAAAACCTACTGAACTTTACATATGCCCCAAAGCTTATTTCTTCCTATTTGCACATGCATAAAATATACAGAATGTACCTGAAAAGTCCTCCTCCAAACACAGCCTTATGCCAAAATCCTTTAATAGGGATAGGAAGATCTGAGCTACATTTACTAACTGCAGATAAGCAGAATTGGTTAATTGACCTATAGATCATAGAAGCCATCTGTATAAAATATGGTTATATTTTTTTCTCTAATATGACTTAAGTGAACTTACTAGATCGAAAATAATAATAGCAATAGCACTTAGACTTATACACTGCTTCACAGTGTTTTATAGCCCTCTCTAAGTGGTTTACAGAATCAGCATATTGCACCCAACAATTTGGGTCCTCATTTTACCCACCTTGGAAGGATGGAAGGCTGACTCCACCTTGAGCCTGGTGAGTTTCGAACTGCCAAATTGCAGTCAGCCAGAAGTCAACAGAAGTAGCCTACAGTAGTGCACTCACCACCACAGCTCTTTGCGTCACTACAAATCACGGTGAACTGTGATAAAGTTTAACAGAAATTTTTAACTGATTCCACAATAACATGAAAGTGGGAGAGGAAGAATTGCTTAGTTTAGCATTCTATTCTGAATACAATCATTCATGAATGAAGGCCAATATACATGTCCCTGGACAAGGTTGCAGGATCCAATCTGGGTTAGTTACCATCATAATCATTTACATGTGTGGTGGTTCTCTTGTGATGCTAAAATCCCTGTTTGGAAAATAAACATACAGGTAATCATTGACTTATGTATGACCTGTTGCTTAGCAATTGTTCTAAGTTACAACAGGCCTTCCCAGGACTACATGTGTCAGTGACTGGTGACTGTTTGCCCCAGTCACATGGTCGTATTTTGGCTCGTGGCAGCTGGCCCACATTTACAGCTGTTTGCAGTGCCCCACAGTTACATGAATGCAATTTATGACTTTTTTTGCCGGATGGTTTCTGGCAAAAAAGAAAACATCTGTTCCAGACAGTTCACTTAACGTCCACTGCATTTGCTTAATGGCTGCAGTGATTAAGGACCAATGTGAAAAAAGTCATAAAATCAAGCACAGTCAGGTAATGTCCAGCATGACAAACAACCATAATTCTGGGCTCAATTGTGGTCAGAAGTCAAGGACTATATGTAATTAAATTTTTCCAAGTTTTCTGCTTTCCCTTTTTTATCAGTTTTTCAGTCAACCTATTTCTTTTTGAATTTCTCATTTCAGGCTCTCTGTTAACCAATGTTACATTAAAGATAACACCTACAAATGTTAAAAATTATTCATTCCTGTTCAGCTTATGACTTATTGGGCCAAACTTTGTTAATCTGTTATATTGGTTGCATGTGGAGCTTCCCTATTTACACTGACCTGGTTCATATGTCATGCTGTGATTTGTGGCTTATTGTGTAAAAAGATGTGCTCATTTATTTAGCTTGATAATTTATAAAAGGTACAATTTATAAAAGGTACAATTCTGTTATCCCATAATTATCCAGTTCCCTTTAAAATCCAGATTGTCATATGTGTCTGTATCTGTATCATATTTTTTTCTGGCTGACACTTCAAATGCCAGTGTTATTTATAGTAGTGGATTATGTCCCATTTTTCAGTAAGAACAAAGTGACTGGTAGTTTTTAATAAAGTTATTCGGTATTATGTAATCCAATTTTATTAGCAGTGGTTCTTACCAATAAAATTGGGATGCTAAAACTTCAAGCCTTCAGTTGTATGCAGAAGCAGACCTTTCTCAATTGCAGTCCTTCATCTACTTCTTTCAGAGTAAACTTCATTGATTTTAATGCACTTGTGTTTTACTGAAAGCATGCTATTTTCTCAATGTAGAGTAACCACTCCTTTCCTCAGTCTTTGCCTTCTCTTTCCCTGTCTAGATGTGCATGGCTAGCTTTGAACATGACATGGAGAACGCCTTTGCCTTCCAAGCAAGCCAGGACAAGGTGTGCAGCATCTGCATGGAAGTGGTTTATGACAAGCCCTCCGCATCCGAAAGAAGATTTGGCATCCTTTCTAACTGCAATCACACCTACTGTTTATCCTGTATCCGTCAGTGGAGGGGGGTCAAGCAGTTTGAGAATCCCATCATCAAGTAAGTTCCCATAGCCGGCTCTTCCAAAACGTAGTTTGTTACATGTTTCCTTTCAAACTGTTCAGTCTTTGCAGCTTAAATAAATGATAGAGTAGCTGATAGATGACAAGGGTATTTACCAAGACACGTAAGTTGGACACAATATGACGGTGGATTTCTCAGTTGCAGATTATCGTGATTAATTTCAAACTGGCTTTAGAGTGGGCTTTGGCACTTTGATTTCTGATGGATTATCTTCCTTTGGGCATCAGGTTACAGACTAATGTTTGGTTCTGGCTGATTTCTGCATCATTATTAATGCTATTAAGCACAATATCTTCCTGAATTGACTAGTGTTGTTTGCCATAATTTACTCATTTTTTCAAACAAATTTTAGTTGGGGTACTTATGATGTCCCTCTTAAGTTCTAGTCTGTCTTCATTTTATTTCAATATTTATATGAAACTGATAAGAGTTATCCAGCAGATTTTGAGCTGGATGGTACTAGTTATTTCTTAAGTTCAACTTCTGCCACAAAGGGGTAAATATAGAACTTTCCAGAAAATGAAGTAGGTGCTCTTCAAATGCTTTAAAGCTTACTTTTATTATACAAAGTTAATCTGCAGGAATGAAAACTTAGACCTGAAAAACAGAAATAGGATGGACTTTTCTTAATAAATAGAATGCTTAGGTTTAATTAAATTACTTGGTAGATGTCCTCAAAATTATGATAAACGCAGAGACCCTTTGGAGTTGTGTGGGTCCCCCACCTTGTTCTGTTTTTGAGTTAGATAAAATAGCTTCTTCAACGAGCAATATACGAGCTTTTTTTTTTTTTTTTTTTGCTACTCAAGGTCCTGTCCAGAATGCCGTGTGATATCCGAGTTTGTCATTCCCAGTGTGTACTGGGTAGAAGATCAGACAAAAAAGAATGAGCTAATTGAAGCATTTAAGCAGGGGGTTGGGTAAGTATACGTACAAGCATTTAAAACCATTTGTAAGATATTTTTGTTCTGTCCCGTGCTGCTTAAAACTCTGGCTGAATACATGGATGGTAAACAAGGACTTCCTGTAAAGAGGACTAAGAGCATTCTGTATGACCATGTATTTTCAACTGAAGCAGAGTTGTGTGTTGCAAAATAGGACCAGCTTCAGTCAATTATTTCAATCAGCGTGTACATCTCTAATCACTGTGTGGGTAATCCTTGCTACACTCTATTCTTTTCTATGATATTCTGGAGCTTAGTAGTTTTCCTTCAGACATTTCATTACCTGAACTAGGTAACATCATCAGTCCTAGTAAGGAGTGAGGTTTGCTCTTAGTTTATATTCTAGCAACCTGCCTTGGAAGTGCTGGTGGGAGTGGTCTTGGAGGTTATTTGGTTGGCCTGTTTACTGTTTGCTTATTTGGCATTTCCTTGATTGGGATACCCAATCCTCTCATTTCAACCCTATAATACAATATTATCCCAGCCAAAGAATACCCAATACCACTCCCACCAATATTGACAGGACAGGACATGCCATTAGAATATAAATGGAGCGCAAACCCCATTCCTTACTAGCACTGATGATGTTACCTAGTTTGGTATTTCAACATCTGCAAGAAAACAAACAAGCTCAGAGAGCACCAAGGACACCCACTCACATTTCAGCCCCGAAATACAAATATTCTCCTTTATTGTATTTCTATGCTGATGGGATATGAAGAATAACAGGGATAATAAAAGCCACTTGCCTATTGTTGCTTATCTGAGCCATTTTTAATTGCTTGGGCCTCCTTGTTGAGTTCTTAGGAGAAGACCCTGAAATTTACTAAAGAAGAGGTTGTGGAGTGTTATAGAGGTTGTGGAGGTTGTGGACTCATAGTTCCACTGGTTTGGTGCTTTCCAACAAACTCACAGGAAGAAAGTTTGGTAAGACAAGCCATTGCTAGATGTCCTAGAACTCAACAGCAGAAACATAAACCAAGATCTGTCCTTTATTTCTTCACTACAGATAAGGACTCCTTCACCATTCCTATTTACATGGGTTTTACTGTGCTGGATTTCAAGGAGGCAATAGGGGTAGAAATACCAAATGCCATAAAATATCTATTCTTTCTGTGCTTCAACTCATCCATCAATTAGCATACAGCACAATTCTTCCAAATTCTCTGGTATGCCCCGTCTTACTAATTTATCCTTCATTTTATCAGACTCAAAGTCTTTCTGACACTGTTGAACTAGGACAAGTTCATTTAGTGCATATCTCCAGCATGAAGCTAAAAATTAGCCACATACAAAAAACAAACTTGCAATTTCCATGTTTTACTTTGCAAATCTGCCAGACAGTGGTCATCAAAAGCATCTCCAAATCTTTGCATGAAATTATTATTTGAGAATGTATGATTGCTCACAATCAGTAGGACTATTCAACTGTCTGACACTTCTTTCAGCAGACCAAGAACAAAGGTGACCTTGTTCTGACCTGTAGAAAATCCTGTTTAGTCAGCCTTCCATGAACAAGTCACATGAGTTTTGAAAGTTGAGGATCTTGAGTTTCTTCAAACTTCTCTGGTAGACATCCAGAAAAAAAATCTTCCTACTAAGATAAGCCCTAACCGTAATGCTGTGCTAGCTGTATCACAATGTTTTATGGGTGTATTATCTATATCTTGCTGCTGTTGAGGCTGTAATAATGCCTCAACCAGGTGTTTTGCAGAAGCTGGATACCTCAAGGATCTGACACCATATTCTAGACCTAGAAGGTGAGATCCAGTGCCTCTCAGACAGTAGTGAGGCTTACAAGACTGATGTCAACTTTCTGAGGTCAAGAAATAAGCATCAGAGGTTCCAGGAATACTTTTTATTGTTAGAAGGGGAAGTAAGAGAATCTTGAAAGTCTGCCACAGTTCCTCCCTGTCCCCATCTTATATCAAATAAATTCAAGGCAGGGATTAGGTCCTTTCTCAGGACTTTCCTTATCCCTTAATGATTCACTATCCCCTTTTTTCTTTCCTGAACCCAAATCTGTATTCTTTTGTATATATGAAGGACTGTGTTTTCAAATCATATTCTTTTGCTAGAACATTTTTCATTGATTTATTGAAGTTTTCAAATATATTCTGCAAGTAGCAAATTCAGAATGAAAAATGTGAATAGGTTTAAGAAACATATGGTATTTTGTTCAGTGTTTTTATTGTAGGTCAAGGCAATTAAAAGTCAAGGGATGAAAAATTTTAACAAACTGGTTTTATTTGAAAAAACAGTGATCAGCATACACCATATAGTACTAATATAGTACTCCAGAAGTTATGAATGCTCAAACACGGGAAGTTTTTAAGAAGAGATTGGACAACCATTTGTCTGAAATGATATAGGATTTCCTGCCTGAGGAGCGGTTGGACTAGAAGACTTCCAAAGTCCCTTCCAACTCATTCTATTCTATCGTTAAATGTACATTATGTTTAACAAAATGACGCATCTGTAGTTCTATGACCTTCACTGCTAGTCTCTAAAAAGTTTTGTGCGTGACTCTAAAAAAGCTGAACTTTCATTGTTTACATTATGTTGCTTTCTATTTATGGAACATTTTGCTTATCGGTGACATCAGGAGCTGTGCTGTTAATAAATGTAGAGCTGAAATCTGCAGCTGTTGATCAGAACACACATATTAGATTTATATTACATATTCTGGTCTGTGTTTGAAGTCTATAATATATAAATTTCCATAGAAATTAAAACTGATTGTTAGATGGTTTACCCATGATGGTCTCCAGATAACCTGTGGAATAAATCCCTAAGTGCACCAAGATAAAAAACCCTGTGAGTTTATATTTTGCAAAGATGTAACTAGAAAATATTCAATGGTTTGGTTAAAAGTCTACCCTAAGTGGGAATATAATTTCTTTCACTTCTGCTATTTTCTTTGCCAAATGATAAGTTTAACGTGTTTGACTTTGACTTACTTGTCAGATCTCCCATGTTACATATAATTTATTCTGTTGAAGGTCAATCATTACTTCTGTGTTGGAATGTGAATCCTTAGCATCAGATTAATTAGAAGTACAGTTAAAAATTTTCATGTGCTATAAATAGCAATAGCACTTTGACTTATATACCGCTTCACAGTGCTTTTTACAGCCCTCTCTAAGCGGTTTACAGAATCAGCATTTTGCCCCCAACAATCTGGATTCTCATTTTACTGACTTCAGAAGGATGGAAGGCTGAGTCAACCTTGAGCCTGGTGAGATTTCAACTGCCAAATTGCAGGCAGCCAGCAGAAGTAGTCTACAGAACTGCACTCTAACCACTGAGCCACCACGGCTCTTTGAGAAATATTTGAGAATGAAATACCAGATGACTGGTAAATATTGTCCTTATCTTCAAAAATGGGGGAAGAGAAAAATCAGGCAGGCAGGCATTTATACTTGGGAAGATTCTGGAATAGATAATCTGTGGTGATGGTGGTGGTGTGTGTATGTGTAACTCAGTATTGACTCCTACAAAGGCATGGACAAGGGCCATGAAGTTTTCTTGGCAGCATTTTCAGAAGTGGTTTGCCATGATCACTTCCAAGAACTGAGAGAGCCCCAAGGCCACCCAGTTGTCTTAATGCCTAAGACAGGATGAGAACTCACACTCTCCTGTGAGTTTCTAGCCGGATGTCTTAATTTCCACACTAGACTATCTCTTAATATGCCCCAAAATGAGGCATGAGGATTAGTGGTTAATATGGATTTGTTAATAATTTATCTTACCAATCTATTCTCATTATTTTTGGTGTGCTTCCTTAGCAGAACATAGGAATGCTCTAGAATGAATATACCTTAATTTCAGCAAAGAGTTTAACAAAGTAACCCATTACATTTTGACTAGGAATGTAATCATACAAGGTGTGAGTAGCAATGACAGTAAATGCTGGCTTGGAAATCATATTCAAGAAGTGCCTGGTGTGAGGAATCAAGGAAAGTGCCACAAATAGGCCTAGTGACTTTTCCACATCTTTATTAACTCGGTGGTTAACTAAGTGGAGAGAATGTTTGTCATACTTAAAATAACATTAATTACATAATGGGTAATTAATATTACTCAATAAATAACATTCAAAATTATGTTTATAAATTGGAGAAACTGGCTGAAAATAATAGAATAAAATGACTAGAGTAGTGAAAGAACAATATCTGAGTATGTTTCATTTTGATAGTGGCAGTCAGAGAAGAAGTGGTTTTATAATATTGCACATTTACAGATTGTTCAACATGGGTTATCGCCAATATTATTTGAGAGAGAAGAGAAAAGGAAAGGCATCGGTGTTTATTCCAGCATATAAATACAGCCAAAGAATTTCAATACTGAGTTGCTTTCCTTTATACTTCTGTCATCACAATTCACATTTCAAAATTGTCCCAAAATATGCATTGGGCTTGCTTTTAGGATTAATCTTTTCTCTGTAAATTGGCTTTATTTTTCTTTTTAGAGCCACTAAACTCCTTGAGTTTTTAATAATACATTGAGCCATCAATCTCCACATGAGTAACCCTCACATGCATTCTTCACCCTCTTATTCTAGGAGAAAAGCCTGCAAGTATTTTGAACAAGGAAAGGGGACTTGCCCATTTGGGGGGAAATGTTTGTATCTCCATGCTTACCCAGATGGAAGACGAGCTGAGCCAGAGAAACCACGAAAGCAGCTCAGCTCTGAGGGGACAGTCCGGGTAAGAAGATACATAACTTACTCTCTATCCTGTCTCTGCCGGGGTCACTAGTCATCTCCTTTCATTTGAGACAGCACATGCTATTTTGAAAACACCTGAATAGTTGGGATAGGAGGAACACTTCATCTGTGTTAAATAATAAATGTAACACAGATATAATAAACCTAGTTCCTACTTTGACATTCCACTTGTTTGTTTCCATTTTAGAACCCAATTAACCTCAATAATTTTAAAACGTGCATTTAAGAATAACATGGAGCTGTTTGTCTATAGCAATTGTAGTTCCAACAGCTTTGAAAATTACATACAGTAGTCCTCACTCACCACTTGTTCAGTGACCATTCAAAGTTGTGACCATGCTAAAGTGAATAGTACTTAACTACCAGTCTTTAAAGTTTCAGCTGTCACATCAGTTCCCAATCATAAGATTGCAATTTGGGTGTTTGGCAACCAGCTTGCACTTACAATTGTGACAGTTGTGTCATCACTCTTGACAGGCCTGCTGGTTTCTTACAAGCAAAGTCAGTGGGGAAACTGGCAGGGAAGGTTGCAAGTCACTCTGGTGCCAGCCCCCTCTCCATTCTTTCTTTTCTACTTCCCTGCATCCTCATGCTTTTACCAATCCACAATGAGATGTTGGGATGCTGCCCTGGGTGTAAAAAAAAAGCTGTAGTTTTAGTCCAAAAAGTGCTTTAAATATATTAGTAAGAGATATGTGTGAGTAACTCATATGCCTTCTGTTTTAGTTCCTCAACTCTGTTCGTCTGTGGGATTTTATTGAAGACCGAGAAAACAGGATGCTGCCAGTTGCCAATGATGATGTATCTGAGATTGGAGAGCTTTTTATGCATCTTTCTGGCACAGATGCTGAATCTGCTGCTGCTCCCTAGAATACCACAAGATCTCTCCCGTGTCCATATTCCATATTGATCCTTCTGTTTCTTCAGTAACTTTGTACCACAATGTTAGAATTATTGTGCCATGGAGACTGAGGTCCTGGTGAAATTCTAGTATGAGCGTCACTGTAGAGCAAAAGTGTTGAAACATCATAAAATGAGTGGTTGGAATAAAAGTGATAGATGTAATCATGAAGAGAAGAACTTTTCTATTAGAAGGAAGCAGCAATGTTTTTTTAGTTTAAACGAATATTTACTCCCATTTTATTGAAAAAACTTGCTATTAAGATTTGAGGTAGATCCAAGTAATTGGAGGTTGTCTTTTAATATTATAATATCTTAATAAAAGAACGGAAAAATACATCTAATTATCCATGTCAAATATATCAGTGTGGTTTAAAATTATCAGACTCTTTTCAGGGTTGTTAGCAAAAAAACAACAACAAGCTATCTTCCAAGGGTATGTAACACTACATGGCCTTTTTTTTTTTAACTAAGTGATCTTTTTTTAAAAAAAATGGGCATGAGCATTGTTAATGTATTTTATAAGCAGCATGGTTATTTAAACATTTACCGCACTATGTTACAGTTCTCCTAGCTTAAGTTGTACCCATTTTTCCTTTTTAATGCAACTTAAGTAGCCACATTTAAGATTATTTGTAGGAATGAGATATCTAAGAATGAAAGTACAGTCAAAATAATCCATGTTAGTTGTATGATTTTATTGGAAGCAATAACCAAGATTCTACTTATACATATAAGTAGAGAATTCCTTTGTTAGTTAGCTCCAAGTAGGAGTGGGATGGACTTTCATAAATTATTGTTTTAGTTCCAATATGTTCCAATATTGAACTAAAATCTGTTAAATCCATATATGGGTATTGTTATTTTTTCCTCCCATTTAATTGTGTCTGATTCTTGGAGACTGAACAAGGTCCTGCAGGTTACTTGGTAAGGGTTTTCAGAAGTGGTTTGCCATTGCCTGCTTCCTAGGGCTGAGAGAAAGTGACTAACTGGCTCAGCTGGTTTTATACCTAAGGCAGAACAGACAAGTTCCTGCTTTCTAGCCTGATGCTTTAACCACTACACCAAACTGGCTCTCATGGGCATAATAGGCATTGCTAAAATACTGGCGCTCTGTGACATGATATAGTTTAACTTTTTAAAAAGTAGCACCACTATCTGAACATTGCCTGAAAAGTAGGACCAAGCTGTATTTCAAATTTGGAGGCGAAAAGATGCTTCAGAGCAGCATGTTTGCTCATGGAGCCCCTTTCTACAGCTCTTTAAAGCAGCTGTGCCTTTTTCTGGATGCTGTGCATATTTGCCTTGACATCCAAAGTATTGCAAAACTTTCCAGTTTTAAGATATATTTTTTTATCCCAGCCCCATTAGTGGAAGCAATTAATAGCAGTGTTCAGCTTTCAAAAACAGCCCTCAATGATACCATACTATACAGGAGGATGGCAGGTAACAGAAAATCATGACTTGGGTCAATCCAACTAGTGGGTGAGAGTGGTAGAAGTTCAATGGAATAGAGACTATTTGACCTGCGTATACTAATTTGCACACAAAGAATTTTCTGGATTTTGAATCTGCTCTTTGAATGGAAATTGCAGTCCCTGTCAGAATGAATGAGTCACTTGGTAACTGTCCCATCCTCTTGATGTTAACTGAACGTTAATATATATTTAAAAATAATGCCCATATTCCTAGTAACTGCAGGAAACTTGTACTTTACTTGGCAGACATTATAAGAATCTATTTGCTGCTGTTTACGGGGGTGGGAGGGTAGGGAATCCCTCATTTACAGCCCTAGAATTCCCAGGTAGTTTCCTATCAAAGTATTCATCATGGTTAACTCTACTTAAATTTTGAGATTGTCTAAAGTTGCTGAGACAATTATTAACCTTTTAGGCCATTCCTGTTTATTACTGGTAATTGATTCAATACCTTACAGTGTTATAAAGTACAGTCACAAGTGCTGCTGAAGTCACATTCTAAATCCTCACAAATGGGATTGTGTAGATATGGAAAGTATGTAGGGAAATAATCATATAGGCCCTCTTTGTGGTGTAAGTACTATAGAGAAGCAGAGTATCCTGTCTGGCTTGCTTGTCTAACATAGGAGCAGGTAGTGTATACTATCAGGAGTATGTTTGGAGTTTTGACAGTATATTATGAGTTCATTCTTGCAATCAATGGCTGTGTGTTTATATTTACAAGAATTTATAAATGCCCAAAGATGTGAATGTACACCATGTGGTCAGCACCTGCTCTAGTAGATCTTTTAAAAATGCATTTAATTCAATCAGCTGGTTTGGCACTTATGTATCAGGTGAAAATAATATAGTCATAGTCTATTCTCCAACAGCATAGTTCCAAAATAGCATCATTTTCTGTACCTAAACCAGATATTTAGTCTCATATAAAAGTCCTTGGTGGCATCTTTGATAATTAGTCACCTTTTAAAACTCGGTATCTAAAATTGGCTACTCATAGGGATCTAGAGGTTGTAGACAAACATTCAAGCAGACTGAATTAATTTGCTTCTTTGTCAATGGTTAGTAATATCACTTTCTGACCCATCCTAAGCTTGACACTTATTTTGAAGACTGTATCTGTTATTGCTGTAAATTTATTAGATAATTTATTAAATCTTGTTCCAGGTTTGTGGTCCTTTAAATGCTACTGAACATGTGCAGCTTTCTTACTACAGATTTAGGATCTGAAATATTATTGAAGGATTGCAAAAAGAATGCAAAAAAATACAGCCCAGGGATGACATGTGATTTGCCAGCATACCTTTTGCAGAGTAAGAACCAATATCTTCAGCCTCATCTTTGGGCAAGATTTGTGGGGGGGAAAAAGCACACTTTAAACCGCATGAGGACTTAAGGCATCTGTTTAAAATCACTCAAATCTAAAAAAAGTGGGTCCTGGTCATACCTATATGCCATCTAAAACCTGAGCCAAAGGTTGTTATTTATGCCTATATAAATAAATAGTGTATCATTCTTGGAAAGATAGAGAAACTTGATTACATTCCAGCATCTACAGTTGATCAAAAGGAATACTCTAAGCTGCTTGTACATACGAAAAACTACATTGTCCTGTGGTATACATTGACTGATAATCATTCCAATTATTTTACTTTATTGACAAATTAGGCAAAATGGAAGACCATGTATCAAATTTAATTCATTTGAAAAGAAATTAATTTTTCCGCTTACCGTGTATTTAAATAGCTAGGTTAGTAGTAAATAGTTTTATTTAAATAGAATATAAGTTTGAGTTCAGGTTACTTTCCTAACAGTGGAAAACTGTTCTTTTGACCAATGACGTGTGTTTGACTTATTGAGCTTCAGAGGACAATATATTTAATTTTGAGTCTGTCATTCAAATGATTACAGCAGTACAGCATGCTATTTGGGGAATTCTGGGCCTTGTTAAGAAATACTGGTTTAAAGGATACAAAATACTGCCAGTTAAGAAATACTGGTTTAAAGGATACAAAATGCACGCATCTTTTCAATATTTCTTTCAAACAGCAATTTCCCCTATGAAATCTTAATGTTTTGAAGTTGCATTTTTTAAATAGTGTCAGCCAATTTTTATGTAAATATTGATATGTCTCTAGGCATAAATCTAACAAAAGCAACCAAACTCTTCTTTGCTAATGTTTTACTTGCATAGAAGTATGCCACTGGTCACACTTCTGGCTGGTGCTTGTGAACTGAATTAAAATAACGTGGTAACATGACAAAAATAATATGCAGGGAATGCCCGCGTAATTTGAAGCCTGGCAAACCAGCTCAATTTAACAGATTTTTGCATTTTTAAATGTACACTGAAGCTCAATATTAATATGAAAACATTCACAGAATGTAAAGTGGACATCAGAGTTCAGCTAACCATCACAGGCTAACATAATAATCCTTATATTTGCACAATTGCAGCAACATGACTTGCGGGCACAATAGTGCAATACAAGCACTTATGCATTCTCTGCCTGAAAAATCAAACAAAATATCACATCCAACTCCCTAGTCCAGGGCTGTCGAACTCCTGGCACACAGGCCAGATCTGTCACATGCTGGCCACGGCCTTGCCTGGTTTAGCAAAGGGGGGGAAAGGTCTGATACACATGTCACCATGATGACGTGAGTTTGACACCCCTTGCCCTAGTCTGCCAACTTTAATTCTAATTTCTTTGCAGCAATTAAAAAACAATCACCAACAATTACATACCAGGCTTCTTATTGGCCATTGTTAAATGATATGCAGAAGGTGCAGTGGTTAGAATGCATTATTGCAGGCTAATTCTGCTGACTGCCAACTGCCAGCAGTTGGGCAGTTCGATTTTGATCGGCTCAAGGCAGTGATGGGATTCAAATTTTTTTACTACCTGTTCTGTGGGCATGGCTTGGTGGGCATGGCAGGGGAAGGATACTGTAAAATCTCCAGTCAGGTGGTATTTGCCGGTTCTCTGAACTTCTCAAAATTTTCACTACCGGTTCTCCAGAACCTGCTGAATACCACCTCTGGCTCAAGGCTTCCATCCTTCTGAAGTAGGTAAAATGAGGAGCCAGATTGTTGGGGATAATATGCTGACTTTGTTAAATTGCCTAGAAAGGGCTGTAATGCACTGTAACGTGGTAAATAAGTCTAAATGCTTTTGTTATAACTTTTCTCAATACTCAATAGCATGTACGCATCAGTCTCTTTCATTTAAACAGTAGCAGCAAAGATTGAATAATCCTTACTACTAATCTGGCCAGGCCATCATATGCAAACATATATATCCCTATAAAGACTTATATTGATATGTTGAATGTAAGAGAAAATAAAGTATCATTGAAACATGTTTCAATATCCTTTCTTTTCAACAAATAATAGGTATTCAGAGAGACTGATAACTATTCTGTGTCCTTGAAAAATGTAACAAACACTAAGATAAAGAACAAAAAGTCCATAGAAGATCTTAATTACAGTAACAGTGCTTTTAAGCCATAATCAAGAGATGTGTGACTTGCCGGACATAAAAAAACCCACAATATAAATCTGAACTTAAATACTTTAACAGCAATTTAACAATTTCTACAATAATTTACTACAAAGTTAGCAGATTTGAAATAAAGAGAAATTAAATGGAAATACTTCTGTAAGATATCCTAAATAGTTTAGCACTATTATCTGTCAAGAAAGAACAAATGTGAAATGTAATTACAGCTGATCAGTAACTGTACAATGCTGTTCAAAGGGAATTAATATAAAATACATATAGTATTAACATATATTGGATGACAACCTTCTGCTTCGGTAATCTAACAATTTAATGAGAGAGGAAGGAGGGAAAGGAGAGAGAGAGATGGAGAGAGAATGAGAATGGGTCAACCCAGTTATACCTGGCTATCAGAAGAAAGGTGTTTTCTTCTTGCATAGAAAATCACAGAAGCCTACAGAAGAATTGAACAAATCACTCCTCCCTCCTTCCAACATTCATGGAATTCGGTTGAGTGCAAGTCTGAACCCAGCAAAGTATGTCAAATATCTGTGGGATAATGCAGTGAAAAGCTGTAAATACAATGGTGTTTTCTTTTATGAAATAGCATTTTAAAAAGAATTGCTTTTTAGTATTTTTTGTTCCCTTCCTTTAAAAGTACTTGATAAAGTAGAATTTATGGATTTGATTGGATACTTAAATACGTGCCTACACATGTTGGGAGATCAAACCTGCCGTGTGCAAAGCAGCCAGAAAAATAAATAAATGACAAATTTAAATTTAATTTATTTATTAAAATAAGATAATCAGAAGAACCTGGGTTTACAATAAATGTGTTTCTCTCAGGAGCAATAAAAACAAATTAAAACCCAAATCAGCAAGGAAAAATCCTGTATATGCCAAATTTCCTTATACGGTAGTGCATCTCAGGAAAAAAGGGGTCGCCCCCCCCCCCAAACAGTCTAATGGCTGCTTGTTTGCAGAAATATACCGACATTGCTTATTTCTTTTTTCTCCCACAAAACTATCATGTCTTAATGAACCCTCCAGGTGCTGCAAGAAACAAGTCTGAAGTACCCAATAAGTTTCTTATGTTACCTTATGAAGATCGTAGCAAGATTGTGCCAGCTTCTGAGGAGTACTACTTATAATATACATCTCATCTTAAAATGATTTTTTTCCTCCTATGTGCAAATTTATTTGTAGTGATGAAACTTTAACCACCAATATTAAGTGATTATGACAAATGCTCAGGCGGGGACACTTCCATGAACTTACATTTCCCCCTTCCCTTAAGTCATCTTTACAAATTGGCATTTTAGTTATGATTTCTCCAAGCCAGAATGTTCTTAAAATATAAGAAAAACAGCACCATTTGCATTGTCTTTTCTCAAATGCTGTTGCTATACAAAAAAATAACAGTTTGTTCAAAAGAATGCAAGAGTTGAAACCAGAAAAGTAATACTCTTTTTTTCCTTTGTCCTTTTTTTGTTTTTTGTTTTGCATATGGGGAAAAAATAAGGCTCAAGTGCATCTATAAAAAATAGCAATAGAACTTCTTTTTAGACAGTCTGTGCACTATTTCCATAAGATAAACTGTAGCAAAAGGCAACATGGAGTTTTGTTCCTGTAGGCTTAGAACATCAGAAATTCATAGCAGTTCACTCTTTAAAATTGGCACCCAGGTGAATCCCACGCTGGCTGTTCAATTCTGTAGATTGAAGCTTTCAAAACACAACTGCTATAAAATAACTGTTATTGGGGAGAACTGTGAAGACAGCACGTGGATCTCCTAGAACACAGGTAACTTTGTTGAAGTCAATGTGCATGAATTTATGTCCTGGGTATGAGTTGCACGATGCAGAGAAGGTTCTGAAGCACTTCGGTTAATTTTGGGTAAAGAATGTTGCAGCAGTTCAATGGAAGACAATATCTGGAAGATGAGGGGGAAAGGAAGTGAGAAATGTTTTTATTTTTCAGAAATAACACATCTATACAGATTATATTTTGAATATTATATTCAGCATGTGAACATTAGAAACATTAACATTATAGATACACAAAAGAAAACCTGATGTTAATGGGAATAATTTATGAGTTGGTAATTTCATATATTTTGAAAATTGAAACACTCATCATCATTAATTTCAATATAACACGATCATTTTCCAAATCAAAGAGTTCAGTAACAGTAGAATTTTTATTTTTTGAGTTGTAATTCACGGAGTGTATGTGCTATTTTTTTCTGATCTTGTTTTATTCAAATGTATCAAAACTATACTCACTTGTGGAAAAAGAGGTCTTTCTTCCCTCACTTTTTTCACACAATCTGCTACAAGCCTCTTCATAGCTTTTGGACAGTTTTTGTATAGTTTACTGAGATCAGGCGATGTATAACCACGACCAACCATGAAAATGATCTACAAATTACAAATAAATACATTTTTGTAAATATATATCAACTTTATAAATGTGCAAATGTGCATCAAAATTCTCATGAAAAAATTAAGAGTAAATAAGCAGTTGCTAAGCTCGGGACAGTAGCCTTTCATACAAAAAGCATACATCCAACCCCTGGCATTTTCTAGTAGTAGCCATTACTACTGCACTAAATTAAGTTCCATCAGAGTCACTTGCCAGGTTGGGAAAAGAAAAAAGGAATCAGTGAAACAGACTATAGCAGGATTAGAAATTTTCAGATGTGTTATGGCATAAAAATGTGGATGAAAGTTGATAGAAATGCAAACTATAGCTGTTGCCATCTTGAGAAAAATATAACAAACATTCTATATTATAATTCACGTCAAGGAAAAAATAATTAGAAGGATGTGCTAATGCAGAGTTGCACCTATTCAATTCTGTTACTAGAAAATGGAGGTATAACTTTCCTGAAATATAGACCTTGATGAAGCATTTGTTTTCTCCTTACAATATAGAGTGTAGAAGCTAATCAAAGCGTAGGAAACCCTTATCGATAAGAGCCTAAGAATTGCTGTATTCAACAAGTACAAAGATTAGCAGTTTCAAGCCTTGACAAGCCTTCTCAAGGAAGACAGATACCTTTGCTTAGCAACAAATGATGTGCCTCTTAAAACTTCCCTAAAGGACAGGTGTTTTAGACCAGGTTGACAGAAGGGCTCAGAGTCCAACTGCCAAACAGGGCACAAGGGACCCCTAGACATAAATTCCCTTTCATCCCTGAAGAAAAAGGCAGGAATGTATCAACTTTACTCTTGTGTAGTGGCACCATTTTCAGTCTATTTATTCATCAGCAGCCAAGAACAGGCTTTCACATCTTCCAACAAGAATTGTCAGCATTTCTTCCATGGATTTGGAATGAGTGGGAACGCTTCCAGTGAAATCCCTGTCTCCCTGCGTCCGTTTCGGGAGGAAGACTATCCATTTATTATGTTCACTAGAGGAAAGTGTCATATTTATTATGCCAAGTGAAAATGTTAAAACCTAGCATGCTCTGATCATTCTCTTTAGAGACTGGATTAGTTAGATTTTTAAAAAACAATTAATTCCATCATATTTCACTGTTCTAAAACAATTTCAGGACCTTCTCCCAGCTAGCATAATTATTAATGATCTCTGGGTAAAGTAGATTTTTTAAAAAGAGGGGAAAAGAAGAGTATACAAGTACATCTAGTCTCTGATTAAAAGAGTAATCGGAAGACCAAATAAAACTAAAGTAAATTCTTAGAATATACAATGTGAAAACATCAATAAGCATCAATGAGTTCAGTATATGGGAATTCTAAATCTCTGTTTTTAAATATATGAATCCTGTAGTGGCTCACAAAAGAAAAAGAGCTTAGGACAAAGATGATGGCATTACACTGACTTGAGGCACTGTAAAACAGGAAACATTACAAAATTATTGAGAAAGCATGCAATAACATATCAGATAGATATGATCCAAATACAACTCTTAACTGTGTATAGTTTTTGTTCTGTTACTTTTAATATAATTTAAAAACAAGACTTGATCAAAAATATAAAACATTCCATAAAAAAAAAATTCTCACCTGATCTCTATTGTTAATATTTGAATAGGGTAACTCTCCTGTCATCAATTCGTATAGTACTATTCCATAAGAATACACATCTGATTGAAAGCTGAATGGATTGCTATCTTGCATTCGAATTACTTCTGGTGCCTTTGGAAAACATAACATGATTAAAATATATATATATATAGCAAGCCACCCCAAAGCCCACACTTTTTTGTATATACCCCACCACTGACAGTCATAACTGTGGACTAGAAGAGTGTTAAACTTTGAAAGTAATTTTCTAATGCATTTAAATTGGGTCCAAGACCATACATTGCATTCCCATTCACTATTACCTTTCAAGGTAAGCAATGTTATGCACTGCTTGGAAAAGGAATAAGAAGTAGAGGGTCAAAGAAATTAAAGGTCTTAGGTTAAAAGAAAAATCATGAAGCATAACTTAAGGTGAATGGTTTGGGTGTAAACTACTTTATCTTCCCTTTTTTCCCTTTATTATGTCTGTCAGTGACAAGCAAATTAAATTAAGACTTCTACGCACGATTTTCAAAGGAAATATCTGGTATTGCTATAGCGTTTGATGAATACAAAAGACTGGGATAAAAGATCTCCCCCCAGCACCAACCTTCTGCACGGATATAATGGAAGGCTGGGGGAAAAAAGACTGTAGGTTACTACAGTGAAAGATGCCTCACATTCTGAAGGCAGGGGTGGAAAGTGTGAAACTGCGCATAAGTGCAGGCTAGGTAGGTCTGGACCTGACTCCAAATCAAGTCTTGAAGCAAAATTATTACTTTGTTTGATGGGCCCTATAAACACAAACATATTAACACTGGATCTTTCATAACAAGGAAAAATAGCTGTAATGGAATAGAGAACACTATATTCTGGGAATTAATTTTTCCCCAAAATTTCTTGTAGAAATCCTCATTAATGTCGGAGCAATGGGAGCATTATTTAATCATTTTTTCCTTTATAACTTACCATCCAGAGAACAGATCCTGTAGGCTGTTCCACCTGTTGAGAACCACTCCATCTGGATTTGACTGTTGCCAAACCAAAGTCTCCTATCTTCACTGTTCGGTCTTCATGAAGAAATATATCTTCACAATTGTTAAGGAACACATCTGGACCATAATTTGAATTACCAAGCACTGTCAAGTAGGTTCAGCCAATGTGTTTAGGCTGTCCATACTGTTAACTATAATATTTATAGCAATTAATGTATTTATAAAATATATAATACGTTGCGTTAATATTAACTGAAGGAGCCACTTATGTATACTTTCTATACTTCATTATCCGCCTTTCAAAAAGATAACTACTATTTGTGTTTGTGTTTTGCTAAATAAAAAGGTCATTGTTTTCCCCTCTTCCCACCTACAAAACTCAAAATTTACAAATAGGCCAACAACCATTTTCTTCTTAATACTGTCATTTTGATTTGAGAGAAAGGCTAAGTAATACATTGTGTAATATTTATTGACTGTTTGGCATTCACTACTTTCAACTGATTTATCATTGAATTTATGATATGAATACTTTATTATTTATTATTTGTGTTTCTAAATATTTTTATTGTTTTAACTTCTAGAGTAGTTAAATTATCTCTTTTTGTAGAAAAGTGTTGTCCTAAGGGCACTGTATTTAAAAAAAAATACTGATTAAGAACTTGTCCACAAGCAGGACAAGTCTAACTATTATACACAAGCACTTTTCTATTAGGGACTATATGTAAGTGCTGCATTCTGTGAGACTTTTTATACTAATTTTCAGCCCTAATTAGTATCAAAATACTGAATGAATACAGAAGGATTAATTTGTTTTGTCAACAGCAGTCATCTTGATCTCACCAAATCATTACCCTTAATTAGAAGTACTAAGCTTCTTTACTGTCTTAATCAACTGACTACTAGAAATCTCACAAGTAGAAAGGATACTATTTGACTTCATGTCTCTGTGTATTATATTCTTTGCATGCAAATAGCTATAAATAGAATGAGATAAATGTGAGAAATCTCAACAACAATAAGCAACTGCATTAATCTCCCCAAACTGTTTTAGACAATTTTATCCATGCAGGATCATTTTCTTTCTCTACAAAGAGAAACACAGGTAGCCCTCAGTTAATGATCACTCATTTGGGAACTGTTTGTAAGTCACTCTTATTCCAAATGCTTTTTCTCCTCCGGAGCCCAGTTACACTAAGACCCTGGAGATCTCGTACTCCGTAACATCCACCCATCTCACTTGTGTGGTGCTGTAGCAGCCACTTGTGTGTTCTCCCACCCTGGTAGAACCCCGCCCACCCCCACTTGACTGCACTTGCACCATGCCACAGCAGCCATTTGTGAGCTACCTAGATTTGTGACTTCCTGCCGGCTTCCTTTTCTTGTTGGAAGCTAATAGAAAGTTGCAAGTAAGTCTTTGGCTTAATGGCAACCAGAGATTGCTATCTGAGTGGTCCTTGGTGCTCTCTGAGCTTGGTTGTTTTCTTGCAGACGTCTCATTACCCAAACTAGGTGACATCATTACTAGCACTGATGATGTTACCTAGTTTAGGTAATGAAATGTTTGCAAGAAAACAACCAAGTTCAGAAAGCATCAAGGACTTCTCATTTCAATCCTGAGCTACAAATATCCTCCTTTATTAGATTGCTATCACTAAGCGGCGCAGTCCCGTATCATCACAAAAGTCTTTGTCAAAAGCTTAAGATAACATTTCCTCTATAATAATTTTTGTTCTACTGAGCAATCAATCGCACTTCAACAGCCTCTTAATGCAACAAGGTCTGTTATCATTAAGCCTACTTACTCCATTCCTTGTGCTGTCTGTCTTGCAATATCAATACGCTGTAACATTGGAAACTTGGTCTCCTGAACATGTAGGTGGTTATATAGGCTACTTCCTTCACACCACTGTGTGACAATGGCCAGATTATCTTTAGTCATGTAGCCCATAAATAGTAGAATATTAACATGTCGAGTTTTCCTGCCAGAGACAAATAAGAAAGCATATTCAGCTGAAATGTTAAACACCTTAATTTAAAACTTCTTAACATCAATAAAAAATGCCGAAAGTCCAGCTTCACATGCGTTGTTCAATATAATATAAAACAAATGTGTGATATGGATGAACTGCTAAACTAATTCTTCAATACTGACATTTAGTCTTAATTTTGCTATAATTCCAAAACAATATTCCTTTCAATTACTTGGGCTGCATGTATTAGTATATGGTGGTTCCCCCACCTGCTAGGGTCCCTTAATTTGTATAGGGGTCCTTAGCAGTTGATTTCATTGCTTTCGTTTATATCACACAGAATTTCATATTGTTTCCCATTTACTTAATATCTTCATAAAATCACAGATTAAGAACACAAAAATACTTATACTAACAATATTAATACTCCTGCACCTATAGGAGACAGAGCAGCAGGACCTGCGTGCTGTGTCAAAAGAGGGCATTAGCCTAGAGAATCTACATAGCCACAGATGAAAAAGTCCCCCCACCCCCTTGAATTCTGCTGGTCCTTATGTAAAGCCAAGATAGTTTAATATATTTCTGTACACAGGCAGGATTAATAATGAATCAGTTTAATTGGAACTACATGTGTGGTCCTGATTTTTCATGCCTCACAGTACCAAAATTCAGATCATTTGAAAAGCAGAGCTTTGGGCACAAAGCCCATTAACTGTCAGTTCATAAGCACCAGGGACAAATACAGCTTGGGATCAGGCTTTAATACGGTCTGTTGCCAAGAGATAATACAGCCATTACAGTATCTCAACCAAAGAGAGCATTAAAATTAACTGCCTCGTTATTAACCATCATTCAATACATTTAAAAAATGGTCTTTCAATATGGTAAATTAACAGGAAAGTTATGAAACATTTTAAGAGACTGAAATATCTGAGAACTGTTTTCCATGCTGGAGAGTTCAGTATTTGAAAGACAAGGTGAAAGAAATATAGCTGCCATCGTTAGCTTTCCTGTATGAAGGAAAGTAATTATATACTTGGTGGATTAAAAACATTTGAGGCATAGTGCCTTGACTTCGGAATGGCATCAATTAAAATTTGAGTTCAGATAGAAAACATTACCATTGGCTTACATAAATATCAAGGCATATATATTTCTCCCATCACAACACAAATTAGGCAGAACTAAGGATGACAACTGATGAAGAAGAGATCTTTGGTAGTTAGAATCTATATATTAGCTATGATGGAATGTAAATATTACTTAAAAGTTTGAAAAGTCCAAGTATTGCTTTATGTTAATACAGTTTATATGTGTTTATACATTACCTGTGTGTGTGTGTGTATGATGTATGTATACACACACACACACACACACACACACACATTTTGATGTATTTATTTTTTTACTGATACTTCTTTAGATCTGTAAGTGCAATGCATTTTAAACCTCACTACAATCTAAGCAACAACACTGACAGGATAATTTTAAGAAACAGGAAGTTTCTTAAACAATGAAATTCAGAATTTTTTTCCATTTTCTTTTTCAACATAAATTCCAGAAATCTGGAATAAATGCAATATTATATCTAAACTCAAAGTTGTCACTGAACATGGATATACACAGCACAGCACATTGCAGATATCTGAACAAAGCATGCCGATTTCAATGCCTTTATTTTTTTGTCCTTAAAATAAAGAAGAACTACCTGCTAGCTTCCCTTAAAATATTTGTTGAAATTATTACATTAACAATTTTCTTTTTTTTAATCCTGTGTGGTCATGAAGGATCAACATTGATTTGATAGAACATAATCAATCAATCAACTTTCTTTTTTTTATTCTCCCCACCAGCACGTTTCACTGTATTGAAATCCTAGTAATATTTTACCTTAATACAGCTACTTCATTTCTAAAGGCTTGAAATTGTTCTGGGGTTGGATCTACAACCTTTAGGATCTTTACTGCTACATCACCTGCAAAAATAATAAGTAATAAGCAAAACACCAAAATCAATAATCGAAAAGTTTCAAGTATACAATTTTTATGTATATATGTATAAAACAGCAGTTATAGCAAGGGAGAACTTGAAAATAACATGCCAGTTACAGTGGAAAGTACAAAACTAGAAGTTTAATTCCACTGCACCAGGCTGTTTCATAAAAATGTATACTTCTTGACAGAGACCTATAAAATGAAAATATTGAAAAGCACAAAAGCATTTTTCCCCAATGCCAATTTGGCTAAAATCAAAGTGCTTTAAATGAAAAATGCTCCGTTTTTAGTTTGAAACAACCCAATTCCTGTATGGAATAAGCTGTTTTGATTATTTCTTAAAATATATTCAAGTTCTCCGACTCATCCCTTTTTTGACTCCAAGACATAGTGTTGAACTCTAAATATGACCAAGATGTACATTTCATATTATAAACCATTATTTTGCCCTCAAAACAGGTCACTTCAAATTCTAAATAGTTCATATAATAAATATTTTCATATTATTAAACATATTATTCTGTTAACTAATATTTTTAAACCTGTTAAGTTTTTTAAAAAGAATTGATTATAGAAAGGCATTTGTATTGATCACATCAAGCTACGCGCTTAGAAAAATAGGAATTCCAGAACATCTCACTGTCCACATGAGAATTATATATACAAGTCAGGAAGCCACAGTGCAGACAGAATATAGTGATACAGACAGACTCCTTCCAGGTTGGAAGGAGTTTGTATCACTATACAGGAGTGAGACCCAGGTATATTTGCAAGCTCTAATGATAAAGGTCAAGGAATGAAAACCTGGCACTAAAATTAATATAAAGAATAGACTAATGACAATGGGCACAATAAACAGCCTCAGGATTAAGAATGAAAATACTGAAGTTGCAGTTCATTGATCCTAAAAGACAGAAGCAATCAACAATAAATAAACAAACAATCAAGAAAAATGCAGAGATTAGCACTTGTAGAGCAGGAATGAAGGCCCTGGGAAAAGATATTTAGATTCTATGATGTGTCTATACCTACAAAAATTAGAACAGGACAAGCAATGACATACCCTGTGATAGAACAGGGGTCCCCAACCCCCCGGGTTGCAGCAGGCCATGGCCTATTCGGAACCATGTAGCAGGAGAGGCAGGCTACATGCATGCAGCTCATGGGCCGGCACACAGGTAGTCAAGCTGCATCTGCATGTGCGTGCAGTCGAGCTGTGTGTGCCTGTGTGTGCACTCTGGCCCACCGCTCACGCGAGTTGAGCTATGCCAACTTGCATGAGGGCCTGCTGCTCACACGGCCCAGTTCCCCTCTCCCACCCCACCCAGCCGAGCCACCCAGCTGCAAAAGTTGGGCACCTCTGACATAGAACATTCCCTGTTCTATGGAAGTAAAAATTGAACTTTGAAGAAGCAAGCTGGTAAGAATATTGACACTTTTGAACTTTGGCATCTTCTGAAAATTTCTGAGAATATGGTGGTCATCATGGAAAAAATATGCAGTTAAAAAAATCCACCTATGTGACCACTAAGAGTCGACACCAACTTGATAGCACAAGTGAATCAAAAGTTAAAGGACAAAGTTATATATAGTCAATGATTGCATAAAAAACACAAATAGCGGAAGGTATTCTGCAGAAGGTATGCTTACTATTCTTAAGAATCTGAACAGAGACAAACATCACATGTGCTTAAAATAATATACAGATCAGAGTGCAAAGATCTCCATCGGTTACATAACCCAAAGGTTCTTTCGGTTTGTGAAGCAGCAACCTTCTCCCCTTCCCTCCCTCATCCTGAACTCTGCCAGCCAACACTGTTAAAATATAGAAAATTCTCAGAACAAGTTGCATAATGGCCCAGGGGTCTATTCAATTAAAAAGAAGCAGTAGGAGGTCTCGTACAGAATACCCAAGCACATGGGGGCTGTTAAGTAGCTCTTTGGATCCTAGCCACTGTTTCAAATGCTGTATTCCTGGAAACTGTCCCAGTCTTCAAAGGTTCAAACAATAGCGTATATACTTTCCCTTCATCAGAGTAATGGAAAGGATGTGTTGAAGCACAATTTTATGAAGGAAATTGTCAATAATTGTCTTAGCCACTTTGAGCAGGGAAGCCTCTTCTAGCAAGTATAATGCATAGCTAAGACGACTTCTTAATATGAAGCTGGGCTAAACCAGTAATTCCACTTTCTCCTGATCTTTTCTGCTCTGGATTCGGCAAAGTTTGGATGTTCTTATTGAAAGACAACAAGCATCAAACCTGGTGGCATGAATCTAACATCTCTTTTTGAAAGTCTGCCCAAAGAAAAGTCTCACTTACAGTCTTTTAGCCAGGCAAAGGTCCTAATTCCCATAAAACAAATCAGTACTAAATATTCAAACTACAAATTCAGAAAAACTACAGGGATCTTGTATTGACAATACAAGATTGGAAAGTCAAGATTGGAGAACATGCAGCAATGGAAAATTGGGCTGCATATTTTGAACAGAAGCTAATTGAATTCAAGAAGAAATGGCTCCCTTACATGCATCATATCACACAGAAACTTGAATTTAGTCACTTAAATATGGTTTCTGAAAGAAAAGAAATTGCCTTAAATAATTAAATGAACCAAACAGAAATAAGCAATAATCATAGTAGCTTAAAGCACAGTAGAAAAATACTTAAGTATCAGTCAGTGGGGGTGGGAAAACAAAAGAATGGAGTGGCTTGAATGCTTCTAAAAACATTTTTTTTAATAGTCTTCATTTTTTTTATATTAAATCTCATCTTTTGAACTCTTATTTCAACTCTCACATCAGTATAAGGTTTATGCAAGATCAGCAATAATATTAATTTACATAAAGTCCAAAAACAGTACGGATGAAAGGGATGATACTTCTATGTATGTACTGTACTTAGATGTATCTATTCTATTCCTTTCGCCCTTTTTTCTTTCTTTTATTTTTCCTATTGTTTTTTTACTTAACTTTTTAAAAATAAAAATAAAAAACAGTGAGAAAACAACTTAGATCTCTGCATAACTCATTAAAAATCATCTATGGCATATATCTGATAAAGTTAAATGCTTGGAGAGCATTTTGCTACACTTTTAAGTTAACAAAGTAGTTCTTAATCATCAAATCTAGCCTATTTTTATTTTGGCCAAATAAGATGTAATCTTTCCTTTTGGGAAGGATGTGGGTCTTGTTGCCTTTGGAATAGTATATCTACAATGGGTTTGGAAAAGAAAGTTGAGATAACAAAGAGAATTATGCAATTGATCTCGATACTCTGTACTACTGACATAAAACTAATTAAAATTTGATCCTAGGAAAAACAACTAACCAGCTTTCCTTGTTTTTCTATCCATAATTTTTTAAGCAAAAAGAAACACATGTAAAACCCTATCAGGTTAGCTTTGTTTTTAATCTTAGTTAAGTGCTTGAGAAACCATATCTTATCTTCCAAAAGCCTCATGAATTGTGAACTCCCTTTAGCCTATTTAGCCTGTCGTATTCAATTCAATTTAGTCTGCAGTATTCATCTGATGCTGCCCTGGTTATGTGCTGCACCCTAGATGAATTCTTAAGTAGAACTTTTCCAGTTATGAAATGTTGGGTTTTCCCCCAATCAGTATAAATTGCTGATTAGGAGATAAAAGTATCATTCAGATTATTAGATATGGACACACTAAGTAGAATTGAGGCAATGAAAAACTGAACTATTTGCATCATATTTATATAAACATTTGATCTTTGTCAAACCCGGTTTTTCTGTAACAAAGTGGCATTCTCCTCAGTAAGTAGCTTTATACATAACCACTCTATCCTATGGGCACCAAGACCAGAAGAAATATACATGTACACGTATTTATTTACTGTCATTCCTTTTCAGAGCATCAGCAGAGTCAAATGTCTATCTTATGATGATGCCTGTATCCTGTCTTTCTTATTCGGTATCTTTCCACATGGTTGAAAGACATAGTAAGTTGGATATACTATTGCATCTTAAAACTACCTCAGTTATGGCACATGGATTCCATTATATACGCTATTCCTATCTTTTAAAAAAGATGGTACTGTTATTCCTATTATATACTTTTGGAAGCAATAACAAATATGCTATTTGGTACACCACTCCACTCATCAGAAACATTATGACAATCCTTAGTACTTACTTGTGAATAAAAAATATATGAAAGGTATAGAGAGCCAAAAGTGTATTTTTTACTATTTTATATAGTTCAAAAGTTAATGAAAAAATACTGAACAGCTACCATGCCATTTTCCCTTGTAAACTGTTCCAAATGAGCCTGATCCAACTCTGGTTGAGAGCATAACTTCACTTGCTTCTATTTCCCAATAATAGCTTGAATCCCTCTGTCCACGTGGTCTCTGCAAAACAAGTAAGTATTTCTAGTACAGACAGCATGACATGGAATCCACATTTTAAGATTTTATTAAAAGTATATATGAAATATGTTTCATGATACTTGAACACACAACCTACATTGGCCGTACAGTGTGTAAAGTTGAATTGTGCATTTAAAATCTGAACACAAAATATTGTAAAAAAAAAAAGAAAGAGAGCATTAAATCATTAATTTTCTTCTCAGAAATCTATGGATCATCTGATAACTTTGTTCCTGATAAAATGTTTCAAGTTACAGAACTCATCTTGCATTCTTCTAAAAATTAGTGCAATTTCATTTCTGTTCCTCTGCTTCTTTTCTAACACTCACTTCATTGCTGTCAATGAGCATGAGTTCCCCTAGCGCAGAGGTGTCAAACTAGCAGCCCATGGGCCAGATGCATCATGAATAGGCCATGTCCACTCCAGCTCCGTGAAGGGAAAAACATTGCAATACTTCAGGACAGCAACGTGATGCCACACATTTGACACCCGTGCCCTACCTCAAGTAGCTGGAGCATATACTACCATTACAATCTCAATATAGAAGGTATGGGAGAATACCTCAAGAACAAATAAGAAAACATTTTATTTTATAAAAGCCCTGTGAGTTTTTAATTTGATTAAAGGATGCTAATGCCTTTCCTCTTCCCAACCTCTTCTTTCTTTGAACCGTTATGCGGAGAGAAGATCTATTGAAAACTTTGGGATTTCATCTGCAAGCTTGCAAGCAGAGTTCCAATCAGATATGATCAAGAGAAAACACCAATTTTGACAAGTTCGTTAATTTTTTTAGAAACTTACATAATATTCAAGTTAGGTCAGAAACATTTAGCTACATGCATGTACAAATCAGACCTGCATGTGCAGATATTTGATGTCTGTATTATATTCATTTCGTACAATTGTATTTTAATACTTACTATTTTTTTTTCTTGTGGATTAGCTCCTGCAGCTCGCTCTCTTTGAGCTGGGACTGGTGTTTTAGGCTGTGACCATCCTGTTGGACTTGTATTGTTGGGGCTTCCTGACATAGCTGGTGGTGATGCTTAAAATATTTAAAGAAAAAAGTAATAAGATTCTAACAATACAGGACCACAAGCAAAGATTGTAGACAAGAACTTGCATATATGGCATATTGTATAAAGATTAAATAGCACATGACAATATTAATGTTAGCTTATACTGGACTGTGACATTTTAGCTCTTCCTTAATGGCTGCCCTGTTAGAAACCATACAATGTTGTGACGGTGCTCAAAATTACTACCAATCCTCAAGGTCACTACAGCATCCCACAATCATCTGACCACCATTTGTTCATTTCACTGACAGCTTCTGACAAGCAGACTTAATGGAGAAGCTGGCACTTAATGATGGCAGGGAAAAGTGATGTTAATCAGCCACAGTCACGTGATGTCTCACTTAACTACTATGTCACTTAGTGATGGAGCTGCCAGTCTCAACTGGGGTCGTTAAGCAAGGACTATCTAAGGACTATCTGTATACACTACTCACTATAATGCAAAATAGAGCAGTTTCTCGTCAGAACATTCTGTCTGACCTAAGTATTCTAGATAATTTGAACATTTCCAAAAGTGCCTGTTTCAGGAACATTTTGAAACATTTCCTGTTTCCCAAGATATACCATATTTTTCAGAATATAAGATGCTCCGAAGTATAAGACGCACCTAGCTTTTTGGGAGGAAAACAAGAAAAAAAAATCTACCTCTGCCTCCCAGCAATTTCTCTCCTTACAGCAAACAGCAAAGAGCCTGTTTCAGCTTCAGCACAGCCTGATTAGTATAAGCAGCTGATTGTCAGTTGGATCAGCCTCCCAACAATCAGCTGTTTCATGCTGCAGGGATCGTTATCGCCTATTGCTGCCTCTGTGTGTCCCATTTTCGGCTTCCGCATCAGTTTTCAGCCTCCACGCGCCCCGTTTTCAGCCTCCAAACACCCAGTTTTCGGCCCATTCCACCGGCGGGATCAGAATGGGCGGAAAATGGGGCATGCGGAGGCCAAAACTGGAATTCCAATCCAACCAACAATCAGCTGCTTGTGTTAATCAGGCTGTGCTGAAGCTGAAATAGGCTGTTTGCTGTTTGCTGCAAGGAGGCAAATTGCTGGGAAACAGAGGCCAAAGGGTGCAGGCCGGCGGGTGAATGGGGCTTCGGCAACATTCGCTGTGTAGGATACACAGACATTTCCACCCCCTTTTGGGGGTGGAAAAAGTGCATCTTATATTCCGAAAAATATGATACCTTTGGAAAGAACTAAATCTGGAACATTTGAAGTAGTCCATTCTGGAAGGAAAATTAAAAAGTTGTGGATTGCTTCATTTCACACTTTTAAGGAGTATCTAGTTACTATATTTTAGTGAACACACTCACCAGATTCACTGTGACTACGTATAGCATCCTGAAACAAAAGGGGGAAAAAATAAGGTCACTCTTGCAATATAACCCCTGTGAAAAACAGAACAGTAGCCAATGTCTCTGTAAGAGACCTGACACAGCAGCTTTGATTTTAGACTTCAAAACATCAGCCAAAACATATATTGAGAAAGGATATTGGCAAATCAAAGCACAAGGAACCCTAACTGCACTTTCAGCAATTATAACATGCTTAGCATTCAAAATGAGGCCCAAGTGATTTATTTGCAGTTTGTACAGGAATATCAAATCCCCATTTTTGTGCACTGCTTAGAGATTATTTTAATAAGTTGCTTACAAGCAATCCAAAATAAATAAACTGAGAAAAGAAGAACAAACGCATAGGACATTTTTAATATTTCAAATTCATCTTTGCATAAAATGGTTTTTATCCTAGTGTCTAAAGCAGATACCTTGCTGAAAACACAGCAACAAACTGGATCTGTAAAATAAATTCAGATGCCCTCCAGCATAGCACTGCTGCAGCTGAGCTGGTTTCTCTTTCTCTTCCTTAATGTTACTCATGCTAATCTATGTAAACATGCACAGCTATGATCAAACACACATTTGTACTGTTCCTGATTCTGTCCAATACTGTCCAAATCAATATTTGCATAATTGACAAAGATATACATGTCCCAATATGCCAAGGTCAAAACATGGGCAAAAAAAAAATGGCTTAAAGGCTTGAAGAAGCTGAACTTGTTTGTTTCTGTAAATTGGCTACAAACCAATCAGAATTTTTTTTGAAAGATAAGTGGGTTTGAGAATACAATCCATAAAACAGAAATAGCAGAGGTTCAAATAATTTTCTAATAAAGATATGAAAAAATTGAATGGAATCCTGTGTGAGAATTATATAATCTATGAAAAGATTATAAAAAAGACAATTGGGAACAACTTCAGGTCCTAAGTTTATTTAATTGTTTTCATTCTACTTTTGCAAGGCATAAAACTTGTGTTCCAAATAATCAGCAGAGCTTCTGAAACAGTTCTTGCACATGTGCAAAGGGAAAATAGCATGTGTGCACACAAGGTTCACTAAATGATGCCTTAGATCCCTATAAGACTGAAAGCAACTATTGCACGTTCTTGTAGATTTATGTAGAACACAGGCTGTTTTTCCGACATTTAAAAAAATCAATTCTATTTTCAGCAAGACATAGAACCAAGCTCCCAAATTGCTAATGCTAAAAATAAATGGCTTTATTTCAGCCATTTTGAAATTGTACCAATTTCAAGTTTTATACCAAGTCTTACTAATTTGAGAATCACTTACTTTCACTTCAATTATGTATTGTGTGTTCACTTTTAAAAGAAAAAAAAATTATACTGAAATCTTACTTTATATAACCTGAACTGTGAATGCAGATTCCCACTCACCTGCTCAGTGAGAGTCTATACTGATTCCTTAATAAACAGATGACTATTTCTGGCTCTATTTTTGTATACGTATTTAACCAGCAATTGAAAAATATAAGAGGATGACATTGAAATGAAAAAGTTCAGGCTAAGTGGCTATGGGATCTTATTCTATAGTGCTATACTGCAATTGAAATTCTAGTAAATAAAAAACAGCCCTGGTTTTTGTATTAGGGTCAAGCAAACATGCCACATCAGTACTTCAATATGAAGTTTCAGTTAATTCACTCTAATCTGGTCAGCTGTTTTAGCAATTTTGTTAAATGAACCAAGCAAAGGCATCCAGATAATACCTACTCTTCCCCTTAAACAGAATCGTCTGCACCAGGACCTGGGAGAAGCATTCAGGCTGTTATTCTAGTTCAAAGCAATGAGAAATAAGAAAAGAACAGAAGGAGTAGTAAAAAAACAGTTTCCAGCTGCTAAAGATGAAAGAAGTATAGAATAGACTTTTTTTGGAGGGGGGAGAGTTAATGTAGTAGCTAAGCATAAGTTACACTAAGAACTGCAAGAATTTTAAAACTGATGCAATCGCCTCACAAAGTTAGCCAAGCTGACCTTCCATAGACTATGAAAGTTCCTGAAAAGGAAGTTCTCAAAATTATCTTCTTTCCCCTCCTCAAAATTGGAGTAAGATTCCGCTAAAAGCCAAACTTGCATGCAAAACGGACCAATGAAAAAGAATTTGAGTATGTTGTGACTAAACAAAACACTTAACCATATAAGAAAAACACCTGAAAAGAACCCAATAGTACAAAATCAAGTAGAATTAAACTAATCAATGACATTTCATTTCTCAACGCCCCCCTATAACTTCATTCAATGAAAAATCAAGAAAAAAAATCAAGAGTATCATGGACTCCAAGGAAAAATCGTGTTCCTCCTTTGTTTATCTCAATACTTTAAGAAGCACTTCATTGCTGGTTTCAGCATTTCTAGATGTGAGAACATAACCTATTTATCTGTTCCAAAAAAGGCAGATCAATGCAATGTACATGAATATGAAGAAAAACCCACCACATTCATGCAATCAGACATTACATTACATTCTAACATTGCTATGTCTCTAAAACTGTTAATTTGGTAGCTACTACCTGGGGATGTTTTTTATAGAAAAGGCAAATGATTTTCCCAGAATGAAAATTTGAATAACAATATTATGCAAGAACATCTTATCTTAATAAATCTCTGGGTATCTTTCATAAACTCTTCCTGTGCATTTTAACATTCACATACTTGAAACTTCACCAATATTAATAATAGCTCCCAAAATCTACATTGGCTACATACTACCCTGTTATTTGATATCTGAATTGGGAAAAGAAAATCAATATTATTATTTTTTTACTTTTTTAGTACAGTAAGTAAAAATTAAATCTAAAATCTTTTGGATCTCAAGCAAACAAACATTTCACAATCTGTGTTTAATTTTATTCATGGCAGGCCTTATAATAAGGCAGAATGAACCAACTGCTTTACACAAAATAAACTGATTCCAAAATATTAAAATACAAGATATTTTCCATTCATTATTATATTTTTATTGTAAGAAGGTGTATTTCCAAATCATTTGTTCAAATGCTATATTGGAAAGAATAATGTAGCAGCCTTTTTATCTTAGAGACCATAAATAGCATTATTGTTGTGGGCCCTGTGATACAAAGATTGTTCTTTATTCTACTCAATCAGCTACCGTAAAGCACAGCTGTAGTACAGCCATAGTTATAAAGATCAAAACTGGCTCCACTGTTCATTAGTTAGCAGAGATAATAGCTTTGAAAACTTGATATATTATTAGATTTAACATACATGGCAGCAATAACTTGTTCTTTGATCCTCTAATAGCATAGACAATTGACAAATTATGTGAGGATGTTACCTGAGAAATGTTTGAGAAAAAGGTTTTTCATAGGCCAGGCACACAGTGAATGAACAGCATACAACGTAGCTTAATGATTTAGAAAATCAGAAAAAAAATACATCTGAATGAAACTCCTTTAAGCGTTATTAAACATACAGTTAGATGTTGTAAAATACCAATTAAATAATAGGGAATGAGAATACCTCAATTATCCGGTTATCCACAGGCATAGTAGTACTGACCATGTGGACATTTGGGGTAGAGGTGGATCTCTGCCTTTGAGAAAGGGAACATTCAGGAGAAGGATTGGTTCCACCGAATGTGAAGACATGAGGTGTAGAATATCTATGCTGAGAACTAAGGAGAGAAAACAAAATTATAGATGCATGTTTTTATATGAAGAACTTAGCATTAACTTGTGAAAATCTATAGAACCTACTTAAAAATAACGCGCTTTATAATATAGTTCTCTGGAAATAAAAGGTTATTTTGGAAATGATCACAACTATGTGTTTCCCCCTAATCCACCTTGGTTTTTAACCCGAGAGATTCCCAAAACATTCAGATTAGAAAAACCAATGTTATACAATGGCTTTGAATAAGGACCCTGCCCCTAAACTGCAGATTTATTCTCAACTATGGAGTGCATTACAAAGCAACTCCAGGCAGTCCTCGCCTAACATTCATCCATTCATTCACGATTGCCTTCCCAGTTGCTTCCCCATCATCTTTTCCTGCCTGCCCCCGTACTCTTCATCCCGGCCACATGTGGAGGAGCACTGTAGCAATGTTCCACATGCCAGTTGTGGAAACTATGAGTGGCGGACAGGGGCCAGGGGCAGTGGTGTGCATTAGGGAGGTTGGGCAGGTATGCACTGTGCATCACTACTAGCTGGGGCCCTCTTTCCCAGGACACAAAAAAGGCCCTGGCTCTGGTGGCACGAAAGTAGGGCATCGCTTGTAGTGACACGTAGTGTGATGGGTACGGCAGTGGGTGGTGCATTGTGGCAGATAGTTCGGCACACAAAAGAGCAGAGCTAGGTGGGTGAGGGAAAGTGAAGTGGAAGCACTTACTACTTTAGATTGAGAGGCAAAGGAATTACTTCTTAACTTATGATGACTGTGCAAAGCTACAACTCCTTTGCTGGGCAGCCTGAAGTGGTAGTGAAGAAATGAATCAATTTGAGATGAAGTGTTCTTTCAAAAAAAAAATTCATTCACACATTGAATTTTGCCCAGAAATTTATAATACTGCTATCTTGTGAAAAACAGTAACAATGTAATACAATACAACTTAATGGGCCTCTTACTTAATGGGCATCCGAGACACAGATTCACGTATTCGCCGAGTCATCAAAGGAGGTGCAGAGATACCACTATCACCAACATTTGAATGTGGAAATAATCTAAAATCAAAGCATCCAAGTAAAAAATTACTGAATCCAAGAGATCTTAATATTTCAACCAGGGCAACAACAAATCATCTTAGGCAAAATCATGATCAAGTTATGGTTAAGCAAAGTACGACTTAGCATGATAAACTTAGAATTCTTTTACTGATACAATTTTTTTTCATTTTTTCTTCGTAGCATTATATCTTAGGTAAGGGAATAAGGATTGTTATTCTATTTCTCATTTATCTTGAGAACCAGTTTAATTAAAATTATACGTTTGAACAGGTAATACAGACAAAATTAAAGGCCAAGAGGATGTGGCCAGAGGCAAAAAAAAAAAAAAGTTCAGTGCTGCAAAATATGTGTGCCATTGGTATGTGGAATGTTACAACCATGAACCAAGGCAAACTTGATGTTATCAGAGCAACAGCAACAAGATTGGACACTGAATTCTGGGAATCAGCACACTGAAACTCACTGGCATGTGACTCCATGCAATCAAATCTTCTATTGCATGGTCCAAATCTATGCTCCAACCACAGGTACAGTGGAAGCAAGCATTCTATGGCAACTTGCAGCACTTTGTCAACACAAAGCAAAAAGAGATGCCACACTCATTTTAAATGACTGGAATGCTAAAATTGGAAGTAAAACAGTATCTGGAATAATGGGAAAATTTAGCCACAAACAAAATAGAGCAATAGGGTTATACCCAAGAAAAATGAATGTTTATACCAATATTTTCATTCCCACAACCCAAAATACTATCAGGCAAACTATAAAACCTCAGCATCTCAGAATAATATCCTATTATGATTATGGAATGAAAATAAATAGGTTTATGGGATTCAATTGATAAAAAGAGATTTCAATAATAGATGGAACATGAACTATCAGATGAACATACTGGATTGAGAAAAAGCAGGGGCATGATCCAGGATTATATTGCTAAAATCTAATGGATAATAAAAGAGGCAAGAGAATTCCAAAAAAGATGCTTATATTTATTAATTATACAAAGGTTTTTGACTGTGAAGATTGCAACTAATTATAAGTAGCCCTTAAAAACATGGGTGTACCTGTCCAACTCATTTATCTTTTCAAGTATTTTTAAGACGACCAAGAAACTACGGTACAAGCAAAATATGGAGTAAAATAGAGCTGTTTGCTCCTTGAAAGAAAGGTGAAAGAAGTGCAGAGATGTCAAATTGGCCGCAAAAGTCCATACAAAAGTACAAACCAAGGCCTTGACTTTCCCAGTGGTAAAACACTACCCTGAAAGCTGAACCACCAGAAAGATGGAACAATGAAATATTTCTCTATTATAGTTGCTGGAGAAAATTGTTTAGATTACCTTGGATTACAAGACACACAAATCATTCGGTGCCAGATGAATTAAAACTATATTATTCACTGAGAGGACTAATAATGAAGCTAAAGTTTAAGTACTTTGGACACAAAATGAGAAAGTCGTTGGAGGAGACCCTGAGGTCTACGGGGGAAAAAGACAATTTGGAGGAAAGGTGTCAGGTGGATAGATACTATCACTGATGACATACAGAGGAGCTCAAGAGAACTCAAAGAAACAGTTACTAACAGATAATCATGGTGAAATGATAGCACCAAATTGGAAATGAGTAACTGAAAAAAGGCAAAAGGGGCACGCAAATTATTTTGGATTCAAACAACTTTGAGGCTTTCCCATTTTGAGTCTAAAATAGTTACTTGGAAACATGATATTTTGGGTTCAAAGAAGGGGGGATTTCTAGTTCCAAATATTATCAAAATGATTGAAACAACACATAATGAATGCAGAACAGCCATTCTGAACTCAAAGCATGTCATTTTGATTTTAAATGCTTTCGCATATTCTTTGCAGAAATGTGTAAGTTAGGGTAATTCTGTCAAAAGAATCATATTAGCTTTAGCAGAGATCTTTTCTACAATGTCAGAATGAGTACATTTATATTCTATTCAAGTACCTTGCTTTGCATCTTTGAGCAACAAAACCCACTATAAATTTTGCAGCAGTGAGTGAAATGACAAAGATTCTAAACAAACAGGAGGGACAGCTAATTTTACAAATTCTTTTCCCCATTCCTGATAATACTTGTTGAAACAAGCACCAGAATTAAAAGAAAAGAAAAACAAACACCTGAGTACTTTAAGGAAACTGCACTGGCAACAAACACAGACCAAAGCCTAACTCCTGCTAGGTATACTAAGGACAAACAAAAAGTACAAAAGATGTAGTTAGAGTGCATGATTAAAATAGTATGCACACTGTTAGTGCATATCAAGTCATAGATGGAGGCATTAGATAGGAACTAGGCAAATGAAATGATAATAGCAAACAAAAGTAGTTCAAACTTTCAGAACATTCCCCTGTAACTTTTATATAGTTTAGGAAAGAATCATCAAACAGGCAATTCTTCAATCATTTTTTTTAAAGGAATCAGAGCTCTGCATTATTTCAACAAGTAGAATTACTTCTATACTGGATCCTCAAAAGTCCTTACAAGAGTTGCCGGATATTGCTCCAGTCCACACACATAGTTGGAACTTTTGTGCTGCAGTGCTCATGGAATTTGTAACCGCAGGTTTGACATCGGAATCCATTTAGTAAAAACTTCTGACAGATGTCACAGTAAGCAAGCTTCAGAAATGTTTTCCGTGCCTGGAAAACAATTGTAATTGTTTGTCACTTATGTTGTCAATTACAAAGAGCAAACATCTTTCAATAAATATGTTTTCAAAAACTAACTTTAGTTTATATTTTCAAATTGTTTCATGGGCATTGAGCTTTTATAGCATTCAGCAAATTCTAGCATCATGATCAAATTTTAATAAGCACACAGAAACAAATACATGCTCAAACAGGTTTTTCTCTGTTTGTATATATGATATCATACAGAGAAGAAATTCTCAAATTTTCCTTTAATTCCTCCTCCCCCCCAAAACAAGTACCTATTGTATTTGCTCACAATTATCTTTTCTTCTCACTATGTACCATATCCATTTCAAAGATTCTTTGAAGTTCAGCATATCCAAGGGACGTAAATTTTAGGAAGGTTAATACATCCTAAATTTACAGATGGATTATTAAAAAAATACTTTGAGTCTTCATATATCCTAGCCCAATGCATGCATTACTAATTGAAAAAACAAAAGGATCTTGAAATTGTGTGTTCCAATCTTTGTACACTGATGACAAGGGCTTTTATATATGGAGAACTACATATTTCATACAGAGAACTGCATATTCAGCAAAGTTTAGAGTCTTTCTTTACAGCTTTCTCACCAATTTTCAAAAGTTTCAGCAAAAAAGAGCTTGTCCTCTGCTCCCTCCATACTTTCATTTTGTAATTCCTGTACTTGATTAGTGAGAATGTTCTATTACAATTATTAGGCCAAGATTGGAAGAAGCATTAAGCATAGCAATTATACAGGTGCCTGCAGGATCATAACATAAATTAAGAGTATTTTCTGCCTCTTTCTTCATGCAAGAAATAGAAGGTCAGAATATCTTTGACTACTATATATTTAGGCATATATATACCAGGAGAACCCATTCACAAATTTGCTGCTAAGAACTACAGAGGAGCATAAAGAATGGAAAAATCACTAAACGGTTAAGAAAATTAGTTTGTGGCATTGATACCCAGATCAAAGGAGGAACACTGTAGTTCACCCCTGACTACCTTAGGTATAAAATCCAATTACAACTACACTTTGACCATCTTAATGGACATTTTAAAAGGAGAGGTTTTAAACTGCACTTGGTAATTCTTAATCTTGCAAGGAAAAAAAAATGTCCAATGCAAGCAGGGAAAAAAACTGCAGAAAAGAAAAAGACAAAATTCTACAAAACTAGTGAACAAAACTGTTCATTTTATATCATTATTGGAAAGAACAGAAAACTCAATGATAGTACAGTTTTCTGATTTACATGTTTATTTTATAACAAGACAAAATAAAGGGTAAGGTCTGTATAGAAATCAAGCAGCACTGCTTTCCATAAAGCATTTCCAGTTCTTCTATACATACAAAAGATCAACATACGAAGTTATGTGTTGTGAGTGGAACATGATCAAGGAAGTCAACTTGTAATTCTTCTCCAATCAAGGATGCAGCATCTGTATTCCAATCCAATCGTGCTTTTTTACTGTAAAAACAAATAAAACCACTTAAATATCTGCAAGTATTCACTTTCCAAAGATGTTAGAATTATGGGGGGAGGGGGGGGAATTATTTGGAAACCTCATTTATTTCAGATAAATGTTAGTTAGAAACAGAACTACCTTAAGATACACATGATAATGTATTTTACTTTCTGGGCTGAAGTATACAAAAATTGCAAGCAATAAGACTTGGTATTATACTTGTTCGTGGAAGCCAAGGGTGGCACATGATAAAACGTATGAAACGTATCACCATACAAATACCATCATTTTGTAATTAGGTCAGCCATCAGTATAGTATACAAGCACATAATTTTACACTTCTGTGTTGATGTCATTGTATCTGTTGTTATTTTGGCATCACCACTAACTTTGTTAAACATGGTGCAACAGCATCTATATAACCACGTGAACCTGAAGTTATCTGGAATTTACACATTCAGGAGAAGAAAGGAAACTGACATCATCCATGATTTGGGTTTAATGTGGCCTTCAGTATAAGCCTTAGAAAGACTGGAGTTATCCTCCCCAGCAGCTTGGTATAGAATTATTTGATCTTCTCCTATAAAAAGTAGAGGAATATCTAAAGCAGGAGTGTCAAATTCAAGACCTGCAGGCCGAATCCAGTCTGCTTAGGCCTGGCCCGCAGGGCTGCCCTGGAAAAAGTGAAGGACTGGCCCACAGTGCCTCTGCTAGCAAAAAATGGAGCTCGAGAAGACCACATGTGGCCCTCCTGAGCTCTGTTTTCAACTGTGATGAACTGCAGCCCTCTGCCAATGAAAATGGAGTTCGGGGGGGGGGAGGGCATTTTCACTGGCAGAAAGCTGCAGGATGCTGTCGCAGCTGAAAATGGATGTCAAGCTAGCCATGCCCATCCTGGCTACACCCCCCCAACCCTGAAGTCAAACACAACCCTGATGCAGCCCTCAATGAATTCGAGTTTGACACCCCAATCTAAAGCAAGAATCATAGCTGATTTGTGTAAAACAAAAAAAAGGTCCTGTCTTAAGAGAAGAATCTGCAGCTCCTATATGAAATAAAATATACTAAACATTATCTTAAATAATCTCATGGGAAGAAATTATTTATATTCAACTTAATTCCAATTCTTACCCTTTGTGTTCATTAAGCAATCGAAACACAGCACAGCATTCTGGCTGCAGACCTCTAACTTTGAGTGCTTTCATAAGACAGTCATGAAGAGTCATTCCATTACGCACATTTACCTGTTAAGCACAAAAATAAAGTGTTTCTATTTCCAAAAATATAAATTATTATTTAGCTTAATCTTCATATTTCAATTATAGAGCAATTGTTCTTAAACTCTAGAAGAAACAATTTGTTAGACAATAGCCAGATGCCTTAAATGCTAGTAAACTGAACAGAACTGAAAATTTATCTCCTTACTATTGTCAATTATTTTATTTTCTCTTTTTCTTTCTTTCTCTTTCTCTCTTTCTCTTTCTCTCTTTCTCTCTTTCTCTCTTTCTTTCTTTCTTTCTTTCTTTTTTGGCATCTATCCCTGTAACTCTGTATACTTTTACCTTGGAAAAACTAAATGCAAAATGCATTAAAGGTATTGACTTCTGACCATAATTGGGACCAGAATTTCTATGGCTAAGCAAGGCAGTTTTTATGTGAGTTTCGCCTGATTTTACAGCCATTTTGTCATTGCAGTCATTAAGTGAATCCATTTCCCCCAATGATTTCGCTTACCAGAAGCAGGGAAGATCGTAAATGGCAATTGCATGACCCTGGAACACTGAAACTATTGTATATTCATGTTGGTTGCCAAACATCCAAATTTTGATTATGTGACCATGGGGATGCTACAATGGTTCTAAGTGTGAACCCCAGTCAAAAGTCACTTTTTGGTCACTAAAATAATGCTTGCAAGTTGAGGGCTACCTGTAATTACAATATAGCAGCAACTCTGGGAGAGATTTACTTTTCAAGAGAGACATACATACTGTCCATTATGTTTGTTTGGGGTTAGTTGCATTGGTACTATGGCTGCATTCATTGATTGTTCTTGGATCTAATTATTTTTGCAGGATGGAACCAGGAGGAAATGGAGGAAGAAACTGAACAGAGATAGAACGTCAGCAATAAAGCATTATTTGGTCTGGAGATAGGGTCAGTGCAGCCAGACTTTGCAGAGCTGTAGTAACTATATGGATTACTTGCACCTGGATATTGATGAGTCCAACTTATTTTAATCTCTTGAGAAATTCCTGTCACACAAAGCGATCATCTTATTTAAAGACTGGTTTATCAACCTCACCTAGCCCCCCGAGATACAGATCTTATGACATCTGCCTCAGTTCCATTATATCTGGATTACTGCAGTATACTCTACCAACACCAACTTCAAACAATACTTGAAAACTACAACTGAGTCAAAATGTAGCAGCCCAATTGTTAACAGATACTGCACTTGAGAATGTAGGACTGATCTCCTGATATAGCTACTGTTTTTTTCAATGTGTTTCCAGGCTTCCATTCATGCTGCTACAAATCATACAAATCTCCAAAACCCTACATGGATTATCATGAATGCATTTAAAAGAACTTCTTTTTTAATCTGAATTTAATGCCTATGAAAACTGTATTTGAAGGCCTTTAGTTTATTTTGATGGATTGTTTGTTGATGTTTCTAGCAGAATGCACCTGAATTCTGGAATTACATTCACTTGGAAATGATCTCATTTCCTCACTAAAATCCTAAAAGTTGAGAAAATCTTCAGTTGTAGGAAGATGAACTTTCTGAAATAGATAGTGATACATACACACACAGAGAGAGAGGGCGGGGACTGATTTAACCCCTGTTCTCTTGTTGCTTATTACAGTTGTTATTGCATTGGAATTTATTCTGCTCTTTTGGGGCATTCAGCATCCATTTAGACAGTTAAAGCACCAAGAGATTGTATTATGGACATTTAGTGGCAAAATATAAATAAAAATTCAGGGTGTGACTTTTGTGTTAAGAACTAGGACAGTAATCACAGAGGATTGGGAACATAAGCCCTCTATAAATTAAAAAAAACACCTCACAATCCCATGTAAAAAGTTCCAAAACTAGAGAAAATGGATCAAAATCTCATTGTGACAACAAATTGTCAAAATTCTGGAAATCCAATTTTAGGCAAAACACAGGTGAGGATACAAGCAAAGGGCCTATGTCAGTGAAACTTAAATTTCCTAAACCACTGAAAAACAGGTGAAACATGCTGGCCATTCTCTTCTAAATATCACTATGGTTTCCTGAAGCCACACAGATGAGTGAGTTTCCACCCCACATCAAGGACAGAACTAAACCTAAGAAGAAATTTCCTAAACAATTAATCAGTGGAATGAATGGCTTGCCTTCAGAAGTTGTGGCTGCTCCTCATTTGGGCTAACATTTATCTAAAAAGGCATAGGTGTTTGCTGCTTGAGGTTGGATAACAAGATCTCCAAGGTCCTTCCAACTATGTTTTTCTGCTATTTTAAACGAATACTTTATTTTATTTTTTTTAAAGACAAATTTTATTAGTTTTACGAAACAATACACAAACAATCAAGGCATAATAACATAAAAGATCTTTTCTAAGAAAACCAATAGAACATACAAAATAGTTCCAAATTGTAATATATATATTTACGTTATCTGTTCAACTTCGTATCTTATCCCAACTTCTTCTTTTCATTCTATTATCCAAATTATATTTCTTGCTAATTAGAATTTTATTGCCTTTCAAAAACATAAAAAACATAAAACATCTTTTCTGAAAGCTGCTTGATCCCGGGTTAAAACTCTTCGCACAGACACAAATTCAAAAATCATATTTACTTTATATATCATTCCATATCTTATTACCATTTTCAATTTTCTATATAGCTTCTTCCCTCTTTTATCTTTCTTATTTTTATTTTATTTATCTTATCTCAATTCAATTCATAATACTTATCATTCTTTGTCTGTTCTATTTCCAGCTATCCATTCATCTTTTCTCTTTAAATATACTTCTCCTGTACACTGATTGGAGTGACGCCTTGGACTCTTTCCCCTAACTTAATAATACTTAATATAACACTTAATTTATATTGGGATTCTGTTTAGTACCTTCTAAAATTACACAATAAATTTTATGAGAAAAACAAAAAACAAAATAAAAGCATATAAAACCACTATCAATACCATTAAAAAGCTAATCATATATATTGATACTCATTTATATCTTAAACATTTTACTCTAAATACACATATAAAAACACAATCTTATGTACCTTCCAGAATCCCTTTTTCAATTAGATTTACCCATTGTCTCTAAATAAGTTTTGTTTCTTTAAATCTTGCTTCCCACCATTAAGGCTTCTCATCCCCTCCTTTCTCTCTTGCTTATTTTTCTCCTTGCCCTTTTTACCCCTTTGTCTCTCTTCCTCCCTTTTCTTCTTCTGCTTACCCCCTTTCTGTTGTTTTCTAACCTTATATCCACCTTTCATCTCATTTTTCTCTTTTTTGATTGTTTTTTCAAACCTTAAAATCCCCTTTTTCTTTTCCTCTTTCTCCTCCTCCCCAAAAGGAACCCATTGTTCATCAAAGATGGCTTCTTCTTCTTCTTTGTCCCAGTCATCCTGCTGCGTAGTCAATTTTTCATAAGTGCATACCGCCATTTCTAGAAATTGAAAAAGAGTGCCCAAAGTATCTTTTCCATCTTGTTCTTCTTTTTTATATTTTTGATATTCAATTTTTAGTTCATCCACAAGCAATGCCATCGTGAAGAGAAAAACTTTTTCCAAAACAACCACCCAAGTATTTTTAATTAAGAATAATTCCAAAAAGTTCCAAAGTCACCAAAGAATCCAAATAAACTATTTCTTTTAATACTTTTTTCTTTCTTTCTTGTATTTCTCTTTCTGGGGTTACTGTTTAATCAAAAAGTTCCAATTAAGATGTATCTTTCTTTAAAGTTCTAGGCAATCTCCTTCTTTTTCAAATTCTGCTCCAATTTATTTATTTTTCCTCTCCCTTCCCACTTACAACAACAATTTTCCTTTAATTGTTCAGAAATCCATACCTCCAATACAGGTTTTCCGATTTCTTAAGTTGTTAAATCCAATGTCCAGGAATCCTTTATCCCTTGGCTTTATATGGGGTGGGAGAGTGAAGAAAAGACAGCTTTCTCCGCCGCTTTCCAATCTTCTTAGGGATACAATGTATCTTTCAGGCAATTCAAGCAATTCAGTTTCCAGGGTATTTAAAAGTTGTTATTCTCCCGGCTCAGCCAGCACTTTCACTTCTCCTGTTTCTTCTCTCTCCTTCTTCCTCCAGCACAATCTTATCCAGCTGCCGGCTTCTTTGTGGCGGCCATTGCTGACCGCCGCTCCACCGCCTTGAGAAAAGGAGGTTATGCCGGGTGGGGAGGGGGTCTGCGATACCCCCAAACCCCTCTCCGGATCCTCCCTATCTTCGGCTGCCTCTACGGGGCAGCCTTATCCTCCAGACCCATCAGGATCGGAGGCACCAAGACGGCTAGCGCAACAGGGATCGCGCAGGATCGCGAATCCCCGCCGCCGCTGAAGCCTGGCAAACCGGAAGCCACGAATACTTTAAATTTATGTATATTGTTGCAAACTGCCTAAAACTGTATATATAGAATAGCCAAAACACACTTTCTGTGAATTAATATTGTTAGCCTGGTTTCCTATCAAATTCACAATTTTAGATTCTGATTGAGAGGAAACCTTTTCTGATTTCTGATTGAGAGATAATTCTTAATCTTGATAAGCAATTATGCAGCGGATTACAGTAATCAAGGAAAAAGAAAAATAGACATGATCATTTTTGCCTTTCTTTAAAACTCACAGTAGACAGCCTAGTAGCTTTATACCTACCAGTATATTGGGCTTCTTTACAGTACATAATCTACTTCAAATTTAACCTAAGGTTAAATTCTATAACAAACAGGCTGGAGAATACCATCAATTGCATATTTGGCAAAATAGAAACAAACAAAAAAGAAAGTAGGATAACAGAGAAGAAAGCAAGAATGCTATTCACAGATAAGAAACACTTTTTAAGATAATTTTTATGGGTAAAATTAAGGTTCTGTCTAAGCTTACCATTACTATGCATCCAGAAGTTTGCCAGACATTTAACAAAAGAATCCATTTTGGATTCTAATTTGCCTGAGCTTATGTAATTTTTGCTGCTGATGTTTAATAATGTATATTCATGATGTGGATTCAAGTCTGAAATTCTTTTGAGGTTCAACACAGTAGACGCTTTCAAGCCAAGAGCAAAACACAAGAAACCATCTAACGTCTAGAAAGGATGCATTAACAGGACCTACTCATAAGAGCAGGTATACATGTATTCAGAGAAATTACATTAGTCTCACTGCTCTCTCCAAAGTTATGTGTGTGTATATATTGAATAAACATGTTGAACAAAATGTCAGTGTGTCAATTCTGGATTCTTCCACATTTAAACATTTTTAGACTACTAGGCTACTGGAATGTTTATGAACTAGTAGGGGAAAAACAGTGCATCTTTATTTTGCCCAAAACAAGAAACAGACTCACCACTGTGCGTTGCTTATTAGGCAAAAAAACACGAATAGTATTACTTGTCTTGGAGGAATCTAAAAGTTTCCCATCATCAGATGCTCTGCGCTGATAACCGAATTGTTCAACAATGGTAGGTGAAATACAGCTGGATCCATTGAAGACAGAATCCTTTAATCCAATTCCATCCGGAAGAGTCTTCCAAGCTCCGTGAACTTGGTCCATTGAAGCAGCTTTAAGCAACCAAACCTTTAAAAGAAAGACAAGTCAGCTCACGAGCATGCTGAAACCAGTTTCTTATTATTTTGTTATAAAGTAAGCATTTGCAACACCAATGCATGGTAAAAGATTTATAATTCAGGTATTAAATATAAGAAAACTACATCAACAACTGAGTTTATTTTGCTTTAGTGGACATACACAGATACATGACCATATTTCTGGAGCAGCACACTATATAACCACCAATAAGACCAACTGTTTACAGGTAATCTGTGATGACCCGGAGCATGGCACAAAAGCAACAAAGTCACAAAAGTAGGTAAAGTCCCTTTAATACCTCCAGCTTGACTCCCAATGTCCAGTTATCATCGGCTGGAGAAAAAACTCTCTCAAGAACAGTTTTAAAGGGAAGAAATTCCGTCGGAACCCAAAGTACATAAAAATTATAAATAAAAATCAACACAAACCACACTGCAGCAATTAACGAAACAGGGCAGGATAAGGAATTGCAGACTTCAAAAGATAATGAAACACACACAGTTGGGAGGACGCCAGAACTCAGATAAGATTTGACAAGCCAAAATAATTCACGCTTTGCTTCCAGCAAGGTGCTTTGTGCAAACACCCTTTTTAAATCCTGTTTTCCCAGCTGCAGCTAATGAAGAGAATCAGGCCCCTTTTCTCCCCCGTAAACCACATAACTCACGTTGCTCCCTTCTCCGTTCCTTCCTGCGTGCCCTAGGATGAAGAGGGAGTGGGCCTGGGTCTTCCTCTGAATGCCCAGCCGGACTGTGCCCTTCCCCAGTTTCTTCCATAGCCACTGGAGCCACACTCCCACTCCCTGTCAGCTGTTCGACCTTCCCCTCTGAATCAGATTCCAACAGGGGCATGACATAATCCTTTATTTATGACCCCAATTGAGACCAAGCAAGGCAGTTGTTAAATGAGTCACACCCAATTTTACATTTTTTGCCATGATTGATAAGCCAATAATTGTAGTTGTTAAGTGAATCACGCTGGTCTTTAAGTGAATCCGGCTTCTTCCATTGATTTTGCTGGTTGGAAGTTAGGTAGGAAGATCATTAATAGTGATCATGTGAATCCAGGACTTCCGGTTGCAAGGCTTCGGGAACTTCCGGTTGCAAGGCTTCGGTGGCGGCAGGAATCTGCGACTGTGCGCGGTTCCTGCTGCGCTCGCCGCTGAAGTGCCTCCGATCCAGTCGGATTTGGAGGCTGTCGTTACCCCGGAGAGGTAACGGAAGATAGAGGAGATCCGGGCAGGGGTCTGGGGATATTGCAACCCCTTTCCCCAGCTAGCTAGACTCCTTTTTCCTAAGGCGGTGGAGCAGCGGTCAGTAATGGCCGCCACAAAGAAACCTTCAGCCAGACAAGATCACGCAGGAGGAAGTGTTAGAAAGTGAAAGTTTTTGGCTGAACCGGGACACTAAGATATATCCAAATACCCTGGGAACTTAATTTTTTTGAATGATATATTTTTTCCAAAGGAGACTTTTTTCCAAAGCGGCGAACGAAAGTGTTAAAAGGGAAAGTTCACTCTCCTTCCTTACGGAGATAGCAAACGGACATTGAAAAATCTGCTTTGGCACAGAAGGTAAAAATCAAAAGCTTTTTGTTATAAGTGGGAAGGGAGAGGTAAAAAAAAAACCTTATATTAAGATCTTGCTGGAGGAGACAGCTTGGAGTTTATAAGATCAGAGATTAACTGCAATAAGACTTCAAAAATATACTTTGGAACTTTGTAATTGATATTGCCCCAGGAGGAGAAAGTGTAAAGGGAAGAAGGTGCTAAATGAAACATTTCGTGTTTGTTTGGATTGCTTGATGACTTTGGGACTTTTGGAAACTACTCTAAGATTAAAAACACTTGGGTTGTTTTAAAAAAAAGAAGAAGAAGAAGAAACTTTATAATGGCATTATCTGTGGAAGAATGAAAAATGGAATTTGAAAAATTAAAAGAAGAGGAACAAGAAGGCAAGGGCTCTTTTGGATGTGTTTTCCACTTCTTAGAAATGGCGATTTCTACCTACCAGCAAATACAACAACAACAACAACAAGAAGCCATCTTTAATGGACAAATAATTTTAGCCAAGAAAGAAGAGAGGAAGAGGGGAAGGAAAATGGAGAATTTAAGATTTAAAAAAACAACCAAGAAAGAGAAAATAAGGTGCAAATCGATACAATGTCAGAAAGCAACAGAAAAGAGGAATACAACAGAAAGGAGAAGCTACAAAAGCCGGAGGTTAAGAGAGGGGGGGGGGGTAAAAAGGCCAGATTGGATAAGAAAGGAAGGGAAAAAGGAAAAGGAAGTCACAAAGGCTTGAAACAAGATGGAAAAAAGCAGATTTTTTTTAGAGACAAAGGGTAAAAAGAGATTCTGCAAAGTACATAAGATTGTATTGTAGTATTTATATTTGAAATAGAAAATTGGAATATTACAAGATCTAATAAAATATTAAAATATCAAAATGCTTAAGATTTAATGATAGACTTCAATATTTAATAAAATATTAAAGGGAATGTGTAAAATGTTTAAGATTTAATGATAGAGTTTAATTTGCTATTGTTTTAATGTCATTATAAACTTATCATTTTCTTATTTTCTTATTTTAAAATATAGTATGTAAAATGTATTAAGCAGAATCAGAATGGAAACTATATATCTAACTATATTATAAATTTATTATTTTCTTATTTTAAAATGCAGTATGTAGAATGTACTAAGCAGAATTAGAATGGAAATTATGTATTATTTTAAGTGTTAAACTTAGGGGAAAGATAGAAAGGCGTCATACTTCAATTAGTGATTACAGGAGAAATTTTGTGTTAAAGAGAAGAGATAAATAGATAATTGGAAAAGAACGGACAAAAGATACAAGTATAATGATTTAAATTAAGATGAAATAAATAAAATAGAATTAAGAGAGTGAAAAGAGGGGAGAAGTTATATAGAAAATATAGAATGGTAAATAAGATAAGTAATGGTATACAAGGTGAGCATGAATTTGATTTAGGTCTGTATAAAAAGATGTAACCCGGGGCTAAGCCACTTTCCAAAAAGAAGTTTTATGTTTCTATGTTTTGTGTTTTGTGTATTCATGTTTGATTGAGAATTAATAAAACCTTGGAGGAATGTTAGAAGAGAATAATGAAACTGTAAACAAGTCAGATGAAAATATAAGTATAATGAATAAAAACATATAAAATAGACAAATATAGAAAAGAAATATAATTGAATAAAAGCAAAGGGAGAAATAACGAGAAATTTGAAAAAGATATGTGTTTATATGGAAATGTGATAATTTAGAACTATGCTGTATAAAACAATGTTTTATTTGCCTTGTTAAAATTTACAAGTAGCTTTCAGAAAAGAGGTTTTATGTTCTTATGTTTTATGTTTTGTCTTTAAAAACTAATAAAATTTGTTTAAAAAAAAGTGATCATGTGAATCCTGAATGCTGCAACTGTATATAGTATATACTATAATAACCTTTCTTTAAAATAATCGCTGATCAAGAGCCTCATTTAAATATTGTACTAAGCCATAATGTGTCTTATTGCATAGACCAGGCTATTATTCATATTATTTAAATTTATATTATTTATACGTAAAAATGTTAATGATTTTGTATGGTGTGGCAACTCAGCTATTAGTGCCTCTGTTCTCTTTTTCCAATACAATTTATCAGGAATACATTTCAGACATTTTAAGAGGAAAAATACACCATACATGTAGCCATGCCTAATCAATTATACAGACTACTTTATTTCAGTTCTAATAACAAAACATATTTGCTTCCTAACAACTTCTTTAAAAGGTTGTAGCTCTGTCTTCATGCTGGAGGTATTTTTTTTTCATCAGCCTATACAGAATATTATATACCAATATAATATTAACAGACATAGACAAGATTGCATTATTACCATAAGAGACTAGAGAGCAAGTATACTTTAACGTATCACTACCAATCAAAATTGATCTTGAAATTTAACATTCCCCATTTGATCTAGGAACAAAATCCTGAACTGAAACACTCTTCTTTTATATTAGATTACTATTAGTATTACAAATATATGCAGTTTAAAATTATCTATTCAGATACTGAATATTATTTCAGTTTCTATCACTGTAGTGTGGTCTTCATTAACAAAAAGACAGTTTAATTTGCTACAAAATCTTCAACAATTAGAATTCTGCACACAAATTAGAGAGAACAAATAGTCTGAATGGTGAAAAAAGAAAATCCATTCCACCCATTCCATTTTTATTTACATCACCTATTTAGTATTATTTTTGTAATGTACACCAAAAACTGATATTTCACCTTGTTACAGTCAGAAGTGTTTGTCATTTTCAGAGAATACTATCCATAAGACACATGTACTCTGGCACTTCCAGCCCAATATGACTCACTTAAATTTTTTTGAGAACAAATAAATTCATCCAGTCTAACTTTCTATCACATTTTTTGCCACTAGGAGGGAGAAAGGAACCGTGCTTTGACAACTTCCACAAAGAGCTGATGAGAAAAATGGAAACACCAGTCTTTGGGGTCCCCTCCATGACCTCTGGTCTAAGTATTGAATAGCAAAGAACGGCCAAAAAAAAAAAAAGCTTCACCTAGAATTGTGATAGTTGCACAGGAAAATAGTATGGAATATGTATTGAGACAGGAAATTTTCCAGAGTTATATTTCTCTGTGGAAAAAAATCCATATTAAAAGATATACTATTTTACAATATTGGTATTCTAATAAACATTTTTGAGGTGAATCATGCATACAGACATCCCATATTGGCAATACATATAGGAATGTGGCTTTTGGGTTCTAATGGTGGAATAACAGCTGTCAACTTTTGTGTATTTTTCTTGACATTTAAGCAATGTAAGAATCTTAGTACCATACTCTTACTATACTTTACATTATATTGGGGGGAAAACTAAACATTTGAATAGGTTTTAAAACCATTTAAAATGGGCATGATTATTAAAGAAAAATGTAAATAATTAGATGGCATGCAAAATACAGTCCTATACATTATAATAAAATAGTTAATCCTTCAGGTGCCACAAGACTCTCTTAATACTGTTTCTTTGTTGTTATTATTTGGTTTTGGTTTTTTGCTGTAGAAGTCTATCCCTTGTTACATTATATGTTCAATAATTACAACTAACGTATTGTGGTTTATAAATCACAATGTATAGCTAGCACAATGAATGAATCCAACCAACTATAATTTATTCAACAATGCTGCATTATTATACAATAATGGGATTTTTCTAGAATATTTTGAATCTATTTTTCAGAAAGTATTAAACACAATTCATTTAGGTTCAAACATAGCATTTTTCAGTTCAAGACTATGGGTAAATATGTGAAAGCCCTTTTAGATTTATGTTACAAAGTGTTAGGAACCATGATCACATGTAATTTGAATTTTGTTTCAGCATGTTCTCATGGGTTTAACCATTCTTTTCTGCATGTTCTGCAACAATTCTGCATGCTTTTTTTTAAATTTAACAGAGTATAAGATTTAGAGGAAAATAGATCCCAGAAGCCTACAAAATTCATGCCATTAATAGTAGATAATTAAATATTTTTCTCTGGTGAAGTGCTTCTGAAATGCATGCAGAAGTTATTCACATATTACATTAAATAAGCACCCTAATTCGTACATTTGTAGCGATACCAATATCAACATTTTATAGGTCAATAATGATGACATCAATAACAGTTCATTGAACTGCCAGTTCAGGTGGGTACTCTTATCAAATGTGGCAAAAGAGGTGAAACATTATCAACCCTCAAATGCTGATGTTTGTTGTTCGCCACAGCATAATCAAACAACCTGCAACTTACACTTGATATTCCTTGTCTATGCCATTTGTTTAAAACATTGATAAATCACCTTTTATCTACAAAATCAAGCAAGCTCTGTCCAAATATCTTCACAACAAATCTATGAAGTAGTTTAGACTGAGAGACAGCAAGTGACACCAGTGATTTTCATGACTGTAGATATTTGATGTAAAGCTTTCTAGTCTTAGCTCAGTTTTTAACAGAGAAATTTTAACATGTTAGAGGCTTACCATTGGATTTTGTAGTTAAGATGGTGCACTGCCTATTCACTACTATGAGAATCTCAGGTTCAAAAAGTACTATCATTGATCTGACATTTGTGGAAAGGCTATTTATTCAGGTGTGTTTACTGAAAGGAATTATTTTTGCCAACTCATGTACATTTTCCTGTGCCTTTCTCATACCAAACATTATCTTTGAAAACAGATATTCCAAGTATTTACAGGATATTAGAAAATATCACTAGCCTTCCTTAAGAAGTTCAACAAGGAAATGCCTAACATCAATACATTTATGATTTTTGGAAAGTACTACAAATTTTCAAAAGATATCTGAAAAGTACACGATTTGGCAAAAATAATTCCTTTCAGTAAACACAGTCAAATGTACTGTATAGTGTAGGGGCTTTATATTTCTTGTACCAAAAACAGACATACCATATATAGAAGTCTGAGATAATCACTGCACAGAAACAGTATTAAGCAGAAATTAATACATCATCAATATTTTATTTCCAATAAAAGAGTTTAGCTATTTCCGATGTTTTTTATATATCAGATATAAAATTCATACGAAACTTCCATAAAAAACCCAACATTATTTCAATGAAAGGAAAATATATTTCCTCTAATGAAGGCAGGATAAAAATCTAATAAACAGATAATATATATTCTCATTTATAAAAATATAGTTACCAAGCAACAAATATGAGGCAAAGAATTTTTTTAAAAGTAAATTTAATCCCTACATTCTGCTCTGTGTGCCTGTGAAAAATAATTTTATACCAACCCTACTAAGATGACAAATTTCTACATCAGTGAGGTTTTAATGTACTGCCATCAATATTCCTATCAAGTAGAAATAAATAAATAAATCTGTTGCTTCTAAAGTATTTGTCATTCTAATCAAAATAAGTCATGTCCTTCTGTACTTTCTTGTTGATAATTCATATTATTAATTATTTTACATGATATATCACCAACTATGGCAAATCAAAATAATACATCCATCAAACTGCTTTAAGAATACCTGATTGCATTAGTAGCAAGAACTGAGGATGTTATGCTGAACTTGAACTACGTATAAATATTGCATAGCATGTAACCACCACCAAATTATCAGCATAATCTCAAATTATGCTAGGCACAAAATACACCATTTATATAATGGCAGCAGACTGGCCGTTTGAAGGGGGGTATAAATAGTCCTCTACCAGAAATTCCACAATGGGAAAGTTCTGTGCTCTAATGGGCCTTTAAAAACGAGGTGCCGTTTCCTGAAAAAAGGATTATATGCAGTTTAGGCAGCAAACAAATTTTATATTATGACTGCAGTAAACATAAATTGAGAGACTTTGAGAAAGATCTGTATGAACTGATTTTTTTTAAAGTACACAAACATGTTTTTCCAAAAATAGAGACAGATGACTATTAGGAAAAAGTGAATATTTAACTTTTTCATGGAAAGTTAAATGTCTTACCAATTACACAACTTTAAAAACTCAGTTTTTATTATCCTGTCATCCCTTAATTAAACAACTAAAACAGTAAACTTACATGAAAAAGAATATAAATACTTCTGAAAATATGTTCAGGAATTTGGAAAGTTTCCTTTTAGAATTCTTCCGCATACAGTATGTCAGAGACGTAATCTTTACTGGTTTTATTATTTGTATCCGATTTTTAATGTGTTGCTTTTTGTCTTTACTTTGTAAAACCTGCACCTCATACTCTAATCCTTCAGAATTCAATTGTGTTTGTTTCTAAACTTTAACCTATCAACACAGGTGGTAATCGTTATCAATTCTCATTTTCAAGGTGTGAATTTCTTCCTTTCAAGTGTCTATTTTCAAGGGCTGACCTACAGTATATGTTTCAGAGATGGCACAACAATTAAAGACTAAGGGCTGGAGTCCACATATTTTGCCATGGGGATGCTGTCGTCACTATCCTGGCTAGAACATGCAGAAGTACTTACTGCGTGGAGCTCCGTGATCATGCACTGATATCCCATGCTCTTGTTTTCAGCCACATCTCCACCATGGCAAATGTAGTTATGTGCTCCAGCCCTAAGAATATCAAATGCAATATGTCCATCATAACTAGGCCACACTAGGTTCAGTGATAAAGTGATACACCATATATAATGTGCTCAAATTATTAACTCTACTGCTCAGTACATGATAAATTTCTATTTCCCATCTTAGTACACTCCAAACCTTCAACATTCCTCTTTGGTCTCAAGTTTCACTATATCACTGAGCTTGTACTATGACTAATTAATTTAACAAAATAGGGTTTTTTTCTATGTCCACCAAAAGCTGTTTAGAAGGATACAGAGGAATCCTTCCTTCCACATGTACATTTTTAAAAGAATATTTTCAGAATTGTATTCAGTTTAATTTTGAACCTTATCGGTAAGATTAATCAAGAAGCTCTTCAGTTACCAGTCATTTATTTTTTTACAACCATATAAGATGCTTGTTTGAACTCTTAAAAATTTACCTAGATTTGGGATCAGACATTAGATTCAAGGTCAGTGTAGATTGATTCAGATAGATTGATTACTGAAGGACATTAACCATGGGAAAAACACAAGATAAAATGTGAAAATCTCTCTGCCCATGCATCTATAGGGATTCCTCGACTTAGAACAGTTCATTTAGTGACTGTTCAAAGTTACAATGGCAATGAAAAATGTGATTTATGACCGTTTTTCACAGTCACGACCTTTGCAGCATCCCCATGACCATGTGACCAAAATTCAGATGCTTGGCAGCTGGTTCATATTTCTGACTGTTGCTATGTCCCAAGCTTATGTGATCATCTTTTGTAACCTTCTCACAAAGTTAATGGAGAAGCCAGGTTCATTTAACAACCTAGAATAGAATAGCTAGAATACTTTATTGGCCAAGTGTGACTGGACACACAAGGAATTTGCCTTGTTGCAAATGCTCTCAGTTTACATAAAAGACACATTTGTCAAGAATTATAAGGTACAACACTTAATAATAGTCATAGGGTACAATAAGTAATCAAATCATACTAGGAAACAGTCAATATAAATCATAAGGATACAAGCAACAAAGTTACAGTCATACAGTCACAAGTGGGAGGGGATGGGTGATAAGGAGTGATGAGAAGATTAATTCTAATAGTAGTGTAGACTTTGTAACTAGTTCGACAGCATTGAGGGAATTATTTGTTTAGCAGAGTGATGGTGTTTGAGGGAAAACTGCCCTTGTGTCTCCTCGTTTTGGTGTGCAGTGCTCTATAGCAGGGGTCCCCAACCACCGGGCCGCGGACCAGTACCGGTCCGTGGAACATTTCCTACCGGGCCGCCGGTTTGCTGGGTGCCGCCATCTTGTTTGACGAGAAAGTGCTTCCGGGTGAGCTTTTCCGGTTGGAAAGCGGCGTTTGGGTCCTGAAGGAATCCTCGTGCCTTAGTTTCATTGAAGGGGGGGGGGCTTCGAACGAAACTAAGGCGTGAGGATTCTTTCAGCACCCAAGGCAAGGCGAGCCGAGCAACCGTCCTGAAGCCGTCCCGAAGCAAAGTCCATCGACAAAGGTACAAAGGAGGAGTTGAAGGTGGTGGGGAGAAGCGGGGGACGGCTGGCTGGCTTGTCGCTCAGCTCGCCTTGCCTTGTCATGCGTGCTGATGCCGGTACCGGGCCGCGGATCATTTTGTGATGCCGGTACCGGGCCGCGGCACAAAAAAGGTTGGGGGCCACTGCTCTATAGCATCATTTTGAGGGAAGGAGTTGAAACAGTTTATGTCCAGGATGTGAGGGGGTCTGTAAATATTTTCACAGCCCTCTTTCTGACTCATGCAGTATACAGGCTCTCGATGGAAGGCAGGTTGGTAGTAATTGTTTTTTCTGCGGTCCTAATTACTCTCTGAAGTCTGTGTCTGTCTTGTTGGGTTGAGAACCGAACCAGGCAGTTATAGACATGCAGATGACAGACTCAATAATTCCTCTGTAGAACTGGATCAGCAGCTCCTTGAGCTTTCTGAGTTGGCTCAGTACTTCACTTAACTGTGGCAAGAAAAGTCATAAAATGGGGCAAAACTAGCTGAACAAATGTCTCGCTTAACAACCAAAATGTTGGGCTCCATTGCGGTTGTAAGCTGAGGACTACCTATATCAGCCCAACCTAGCCCATTCTTTCCATCATCCAGTGTCATTTCATAAAATATAAGGTTTGAAGGGATCTAGAACAGGGGTCACCAACCTTTTGGACCTCAGAGACCATCAAACTCATAATTTTAAATCCCAGGGACCACTAATATGAATTTTGACTGACGGTGGTTTGCTGACAGTGGGAGGGAGAGGGAGAGGAAGAAAGAGATCTGATCTATCCTCTCTCTCTCCCTCCCTCATTCACTCCCTCTCTCACTCTCTCTCTCTCTCTCACACACACACACAGAGGCAGGGGTGGGATTCAAATGTCTTAAATCTGGTTCTATGGGAGTGGCCTAATTTGTGGGTGTGGCTTGGTGGTCATGTGACTGGCTGGGCATGGCTTGTATGTAAATATTATATTTATATAAATATTGAATTTTTTATTTAAAAAAGAGCCACTTTTACCCAAAATCAGGCAAAGCAGGCGGGCAGATTGAGTTGCTCACAGAATCACAGATTCATTCAGAGATCTGTGAGATTGGCTACCTGAGCCTGTCACATAAAATTTGCTTGCAAGCAAACCCATAAAATTTGCTAGCAAGAAAACTCACAAAATTAACTAACAACACATCATGTATGTAAATATTGAATTTTTTATTTAAAAAAAAGAGCAACTTTTACACAAAATCAGGCAAAGCAGGCAGGCAGATTGAGTTGCTCACAGAATCACAGATTCACTTAGAGATCTGTGTTTCTGCCATCGGCTAGCTGAGTCTGCACTGCTTCAGTCCTAGGGAAAGTTCGGCTGTGCTTAAAAGCAGAGCCAAAGATCTAAAGATTAGCTAAAAAGCAAGAAATCCAACGATTTCCTGCTTTCTAGCTAATCTAAATCTCCTGGCACAGAACAGCTGATGGTCGGAAAAAGAAAAAATAACAACTTAGCAGGCAAGTTTGCCAGGTAAGGAGTGAATGGGTGGGGAGGGAGGGCCATGTGGGCAGGGCAGCCTTGTGTTCCTGAGCAGCCTGGATTAATTGCTTTGGGGGATGCTCTGGGGGTGATATTTCTCTGTGGACCACCAAAATTTTCTCGCTGATCTAGAAGATCATCTAATTCTAAAGGTTCTCAACCTTTTCTTCACTTCCGATCCTCTTTAAAAATATTTTGTGGCTATAGACCACCAAGACTCAAGATTTAAATCACAACATTTCTTCAAGTCTTCGTGAGGCCCCCAGGGCCTGCAGACCACAAATTGAAAATCACTTATGTAATACAACCCTCTATCCAGTCCAGGAATCTACTATTATATCATTATAACATGTAATAACATAACTTGCAGAAGCATTCCTCTTCAGAAATGCAATTTTGTCAAAGCACAAAGCTTTATATCATCATCACCATAGTAAAAGAAATGCTGAAATGTGCACCAAAGGATGCTATCAATCCTAGATATGTAGATAAAATATTGAATTAGCAAAGACCATCTTCTTCCTAGGGCCTGCCAGGTTTCCTAAATTGGGAAGTCCCCTTAAGAAACAGAATGAACCCCTCTATTTGTAACACAACTCCGTTCAAGTGTCTCTGAATGCCCTGAAGTGGAAAATGCAAACTAGTGGTTCCTGAAATTCCATATATGTTATAGTAACTATAATAGCAGATGCCAATCAGGGGTGGGATTCTACCGGTTCAGACTGGGTCTATAGAACTGGTTGTTGTTATGATTCTGCACATTTCAGAGAACTGGCAAATCGTGCCCCTGGCTGGCCCCGCCCATCTCTGCCCGCCCCTCCCTTTGCTGCCCAGGAAGACCTGATCGCACATGCGCAACATTGTGCGCATGCCCAACATCGCTGACTGTGTTCTTCTCTGCCCAGTCACTCCTTAAGATGTTTCTTTTTCCCCCCACTCCCGATAATCAGTTGTTCCTATGATCAGCTGTGCCGGGATTCCCCTCGCTTACTTACTGCTTCGCCCTGGAGGCTTCCTGGAGGCTCACGAAGGCAAAAAATTGAGGGCGGAGGGGGGTTGCAGCAGCACCCCTGCCCCCTCTCCATTTTTTGCCTTCCTGGGCCCCAGGGAAACTTCCTGGAAGCAAAAATGCCCCCCCAGGAGCTTCTCTGAGGCCCAGGAGGCCCCAAAACGGAGTGTGGGTGGGTGCTGCATGCCCCCTCCAAGCTCTGTTTTTTTCTTCCTGAGCCCCAGGGAAGCCTTCTGGGAACAAAAAGGCCCCCGAAGGAGGCTTCCCTGAGGCCCCAGAACAGAGCTCAGAGGGGTGCTGCACGCCCCTCCAGGCTCCTTTTTTTTTTCTTCCTGAGCCCCAGGGAAGCCTTCTGGGAGCAAAAATGCCCCCCCAGGAGGCTTTCCTGAGGCCCAGAAGGCCAAAAAAACGGGGGCAGGGGTGCTGCCAAAAAAAGAAGCCACTCCACCCAGTCAGATGACCACGCCCACCTAGTCACGCCCAGGGAACCGGTTGTTACAAAATTTGAATCCCACCCGATACCAATATATTATTTGTCAGCATTAATGATAAACAATTCTAGTTTAGCTTTTTAATCACAGAAAAACGCTAACAAAATTATGACAATGACATGAATTAGCAACACCACAAGCTATTTGAAAGATGGGGAGGGAAGAGAATCCTTTAAATCGTTATTTCATTCAAATCAACTACAGTGAAAAATATATGCTATATTTTAAATGTGTTTTGTAAAACTTACCTCAGTATAATACTTAAATGCAATTCTGAGATATGTTACATCACAGAGGCTGTTAACCCAGCTATTTCTTCCACAATATATAAAACCATAATTTTTATTAATTAGCATCAAATGAAAAGTTACTTATATTCTGCAGTAATTTCTTATTTCTGCAATATTAAAATTGTTCACCAAATTCATTTACTAAGCCCTTAATCTCTTGAACACGTA